GTCAGAAGGGACCATTCCCTGGAGAAGGATGTCATGCTTGGTAAGGTGGAGGGTCAGCAAAAGAGGGGAAGGCCCTCCACAAGATGGATTGACATGGTTGCAGTGGCGATGGGCTCAAGTATAGCAAGAATCATGGAGCTGGCTCAGGACCGGGTGGCGTTTCGTTCTGCTGTGCATAGGGTCCTATGAGTCAGAGACGACTCCATGACACCTAACAATAACAACATGTTGTTGAATAAAGGTATTTGCAATGAATAAATTATTGGTCTTACAAAATTCTATCATGCACTCTGCAGTGTCATTTCTATCACCAAAGCCATATTTCCCAACTACCAGTGATTCTTTTTTCAAAGATGACAACTTTGAAGGTAAAAAGTCATGGGGTATTTAATGAGTATGATCTTTTGGAAATGGATTGTCAGGCCTTTCTTCTGAGGTATCTCTGAGTGGATATGAACTGCCAATCTTTCAATTAGTAGCTGAGTGTTTAATGGTTTGTGCCACCCAGGGACTACTAAGTGTTCAATAAGATATTACTAATACATAATCCATGATAAAAATGATGGTGTTGAAATATATTTATTGATCTGAGAAGGATTTCACGATGTACTTTTTAATTACAAAAAGTAGATTGTAAACTATTAGGTACATTATCCCATTTTTACAGTAAGTACATACATACATAAACTAACAAAACTCAGTGCTGTGGAGTCGAATGCGACTCATAGCGACCCCTCCTTGGCTTTCCAAGGCAGTGTCTCTACAGAAGTAGATTACTCCAACCTTCTTTCCAAGTAGTGGCTGGTACATAAATGAAATTTATAAAGTTATATGTATAAAAATGTGTAAGAATATACAGAAATGCATTAATGGTGATTCTTTTTTTGGCTCATCTGTAGTTTTTAATGTTTCAACAGTAAATATGGATAATTTGTGAGAAGGAAATGAAAACACAACTAGTAGAACAGTTTACCTTACAGTGAAAACAAACACTGATCAAGCATATTAAGTAAAAAAGTTACTAAAATGAAGACAGTAAGATTGCAAAATTCACAGCCATTTATGAATTCAAATGATTTTCTGCCACCCTGTGGGGAATACTATTCACTGCATGATTGAAATAAGCAAAATTGGAACTTTGAAAAATCTGGCCCAAGAGGTTGTTTAGCTAAAAGCTCTGTTGATTAATTTTCTGTCAGGTACTTAACAAAATTCCCAGAATAGGGAAAAACTAACAATACCTAACACTTACATGGGAGCTCTGGTTGCGTAGTCCCTAAGGCAGTTGACTGCTAACCAGAAGGCTGGTGGTTCAAACCCACCAGCCACTCCCTGGAAGGAAGGAAGGTTGGGCAATCTACTTCCGTAGTGATACTGCCTCGGAGACCCAAGGAGGGGTCGCTATGAGTTGGATCCTACTGGGCGCTCATAGGGACCCCTCCTTGGGTTTCCCAGGCAGTATCACTACGGAAGTAGATTGCCCAACCCGCCTTCCGGGGAGTGGCTGGTGGGTTTGAACCACCAGCCTTCTGGTTAGCAGTCAAATGCCTTATTTGTGTATATGACTTTACTTAATCCTCACAGAAACTCTATGAGGTTTCATTATTTTTTCCCCATTTTTTAAATGAGGCATAGAAAATATAACCATCTGCCAAGGTTGTGTAGTTTTTGCCCAATGATGTAAATTTGTGAACTTTTCCCTTCTCCCTCATGCTTCACCTGAGCCTGATGCATTACACAAATCCTTGCCTGCCGAGCCCTTGAAATGATTTAGGGAAATGAGACTCTCAAAAAACGATTGCTGGCTTTTTCCAAAGTAATTTTATTTCTTTGAAGCGCTAAAGAAGCTTTGCTACTTAAAGTAGGGTCCTTGGACCTGTGCCTTTCAGAGACCTGTCTGAGACAAGAAATCTGAGAGTAATTGTTTAGAAATCTTTATGGCAATTTTACAGCTTTTGATTCTAATAATACAACTTTTCAATTTATACTTTGCATGACTTTTTGTTTCATTTAGTATTTTTCTCTAGCATTTTTCTTTTCTTCTACAAAAGTATGGTCCACAACAATTGAAAATTAAAATATTGCTTATTCTCAAATACAAAAACTTAAAAATGACCAGAATTACCGGTTGACAGAGACTGGTAGAACCCCAAGACTATGGCCCTGGGTTACCCTTTGGGCCTAGAAATGGACTCACTTCCATGGATTGGCTCTCAGCCCAACAGTAGAAAGACCTACATGCAGAATACCCACCCCAGGGCAATGCACCCACCTGCTATAGGGAGATGCATCCCTTAGAGCAATCAGCCATGAGACACCAGAAGGGCAGCATTCACCTAGGGGGAAAGTTGGACAGAGGAAAGTTGGACAGACAGGAGTGCGTGATTAAGAAGGGCACAGAGAGTGGGTAGTCACTCACAGGGAGGGGAGGGGAGTGTTTTATGGTTGAGGATGGTGATAATGGGGGCCTGAAATCAAATGTGCATGAGTTATTGAATGTAAATCAAATTTGCTTTGCAAATTTGCACCCAGAGCACAGTTAAAAAAAAAAGTTTATCCTCAACAGAGTTTGAGAAGCGTTGCTATACAAAATAAACTAATTCTTCTGACGTCTGTCTCCTCAATTTCGATAGCTTTCCTCCTTTCTTTTTATCCATTTCATAATACATAGGTATAAGTAAAATAAAAACAATGGCTCTAGAACTGCCGCACCCCAGTAAAGAGGAAACAACAAGACAGCCCTAGCCGCCTTAAAGGCGCCGCCAATAAGGCGTGGACGCGAAGGGCCCTCCCGCGATACGTAGGACGATCACGCGTTAGCCTGCAACGGTTGAGAATGGGGGGGACCCTGTGGGGTTGAGGAAGACGCCACGCCCCCGCCTCCCTCAAGGCTGGCTGCTGGGCCTGGGGAAGGTCTGGACGTTGTCACTTCCGCTGTCACCGATCTCTGCGTCCGGGTCAAGGCTGTAGCCTTCGCCGCCGCCGCTGCTGCAGCTGCGGCCAAGAGACTGGGCCCTTGTCTCCGCCGCCCACCGAGAGGAGCAGGCTCCGCTCGGCGCCACCTTCTGCGACCTGGCAGTCAGCCCTACGTCGCCGGCCTGGAGAGGTGGAGAGGACGAGGGGGCCGCGGCTTCCTCTGGGGTGAGTGCGGCCTGAGAGGGATTGGCACGGTGGGCCTGGATTAGGAACAAGCTTGTAGCCGAGGGTCTGAGGGGCGTCTCCCCGCGGGCAGCCGGGGAGGGAAAGCCCATGAGGTTATGCATCGTAGGGGGCGCCATAGAACCTGCCCTGGAGGCGCTTCCTCTGTCCCCGCCCAGCTTAGATCCCCGCCCTTGGCTCGACTCCTGTTTGCATATGCCAGTTTTGTCCCCCCCTCCCCCTTTTCCGGTTGTTGGTGGTTGTGGTCCTCAGGATGGAGCCTTGTTCCTCCCCGGACGAGCTCTGCCACAACCTGATCTGGGGTACAGTGACTGGGCCAAGTTAACCTGGGTTTATGACCAGCGTTGGTCCCGGTGAAGAACAAAGAAACTTAGACTTCTGGTGTGCCTCGTACCCTCGGGGAACGGACGCGGAAGCAGCATTTGTCATCAGTGCTTTATTAAACCTTCCTGAGCAAGCCAAACCAAATTGAGGGTGTGCACGTGAAAAGCCAAGTCCCTGCGTGGATTCAGACACTATCTTTTGCCTGTGAATACCTGGCATAAATGGTTTGGGTTTCCTAGATGCATCTCATGCCACTGGAGATATACGAGATAGACACGCGGTAAATCAGAAATTATATGGGTCTTCACGTTTTTTGTAACTGTTCCACTGGCTGCCAGTTGGGGAACTCTTTGCAGACACAGCTTTTCCCATGTTCTTGTAGGTAGTCTCAGTGCCTCCCATATAAAAGCCAAACCAAATTCACTGCCATCTAGTTGATTCTGACTCAAAGCGACCCCCTTTGGGTTTCCCAGGGGGTGAATCTTTATGGAAGTAGATTGCCCAGTCTGCTTTCTGCGGGGCGGCTGGTGGGTTTGAACCGCCAACCTTCTGAATGCTTTAGGGGCCTTCGCCCAGATACAGTTGAGTAAATAAATAAATGCTAGCAAGTATATGATAGCATTTTGTGTTTTGTTATGTTTTCATCTTCAGTTTTGATTAGGGTCTCTTCTAATAATTTTTAAAAATGTTTCTTAAGTATATTTAATATTAGATATAAATATATTAAATATATTTTCCTAATGTTTGATTAGAGTTTCTGCAATTTGTAAATGTGTAAATTTCCTCAAATTCATAACTGAAGTTACCCAATTAAATTACTCTGCAGACCTATTTTCTTCTACTCACTAGTTATCATTTGTTCTGGTTACCTAGTGCCACTCTGACAAGAATATACCACAAATGGGATGGCCTTAACAAACAGGAGTTTATTCTCTTAGAGTTTGGAGGCTTTAAGTCCAAGTTCAAAGTGCCAAGCTCTAGGGGCTGGGTGAAAACCCTCAGCCTTGGGCTTCAGCTCTGCCTCCAGCTCCCAGCCCACTGGAGCTAGAGGCTTTTCTTCACTCAGACAGCTGTTGGCTGCTGAGACTGACAAACCCAAGGTTGACAAGTAAAAAGGCACAGTCCCAGTGTTACCAAACCACACGGCAGGTCATTAATTCAAGTCCGTTGTAAGTCCCCAGGTCTGCAGAGCATGGCAGGCTGCTGAACAACAAAACGGGCTCCATACAGGGTCCAAGCAGGGCATAAGCTACAGTTCCTCAAGGCTTCTCTTTATATACAGGAAGTTGACCACGTCCCTAAGGCAGTTACTCAGCTGCTCACGGTATATTCCACCATGGAGTTGATTACCAGTGCCATCATGGGGAATACTACATCCAGCTGCCCAGCCACTCAACCAGGCACAGCCAAGTTGACTCACAAACTTAATCACCACATCATTTTACATTTTCTCTAAGCTCTATTTCTAGTTGGCATTAGTCTCCTCCATCACAGAATTATCCACAAGCATCTCCGTGGGAGAAACATGAGGCAATCAGCTGGGTAAAGATTCATAGCTTTGAAAACCCCATGGGACAGGTCTGCTCTGCCCTGTAGGGTTGGAATCAAATAGATGCAGTAGGTATATTTTTTGGTTTATCACACGGATGAATACTGATGGGTTTAGACAGGAAGTATGGTAAGTCACTTCTGCAAACATGAAATATGAACTAGATCATCACAAGTCAGTACTATTACAGTCTTTAGGCATTACAGTGACCTTTGAAGCTGACTGTAACCAAATCTAGCACTACAGGCTTATTCTCTATAAAGTTGCCAGTGAACTGGAGACAATGTGCTATATTAGAAACAAATCTGGATTAGGTCTGGGAATCTAGGTATTGCACCCTGATGTGCTTTTACTTGCCTCGTATACACTACCATTGTGTTCCTTTGATTCATAGCAACCCTATAGGGCAAAGAACTGCCCTATAGAATTTCCAAGGCTGTAAATCTTTACAGAAGCAGACTGCCACATCTTTCCCCCTCAGAGCTGCTTGTGGTTTCGAACTACTAGCCTTTTAGTTAGCAGCTGAATATTTTACCACTGCTCCATCAGAGCTTCCCTCATATGGTAAATATAAGATGACAATGATAACTCCAGTGTTTTATAACTCGTAGAATTGTTGGTTGTAACATATGAGATAATAAGGGTTAAAGTGATTAAACCAAACCAAATGCACTGCTGGGGAGTCGGATCCGACTCACAGCGACCCTTCCTTGGGTTTCTGAGGTGGTATCTCTACAGATAGTAGAGTGCCCAACCTTCCTTCCGGGGAGTGGCTGGTGGGTTTGAACCACCAGCCTTCTGGTTAGCAGTCAAACGCCTTAGGCACTATGCCAGCAGAACTCCTGTTAAAGTAAGTAAAAAGCACTCTGGTAAAATGATTCTGTTCAGTCTTTGTGAAATTATGCTGGTAGATGGAGCAGTGAGGGAGAAAGGCATCTGACAAAGGTAGTGTAGCCAGATCCAATAAAGTAGGCTTGGCTGACAGTGATGTCTTGTTATGCTTAGATCCTGTAAAGCACAATATTAGTGTAATATGTTAATAGTAATATTCCAAGGTTATAGTTTTGAACCACAACCTATATTTATAACTCTGCGACAAAGTGGCAGAGATCAGTTAACAGACTTTAATCTTTTTGAAGGTCTCAGCATCTCCAGGATGTTCAGCATACTGATAATATAATAAATGTACATTTTTGCTCTGTTTTGTCTCCTCTTACAGGTAGTATGTAATTATATTTTGCTTTATTTTCACAATTTTGAGAAAACTCAGGGCTGTTTGACATTTTGTTTGAATTTTAACATTTCTGATAAAGCATCTCATTTCATTCTTAAAAACCTATATGACCTTGTTCTCAAGGGGGCATTTGCAACCAAACAATTTTTTTCAGAGGTGTTTTGGTGATCTTCATAAACATATATGCTGGTCTAAAATATTTTCCTATAGTGCTACCAGTATTGCCAACATCATAGGAAAAAAGTAAACATAACAAGTTAGGGTTTAAATGGGGAAGTTTAAATGGGAAACGGGCATTTCCTTCTGCCAGGTGCAATTGATTTCAGCCATAGATGATTGTTACTAGCACTTATTCCTGTAGCAATGTTAAATGACATAGTAGTAAAATTTGACATGTAAAATTGTACTATAGTTAAAACAGGTCTAAATATGGTCTTAATAATTTAATTTTTGCTTCCTCGTATTGGTTGGATATACCATCATACCTCCCTTCTGCATCTGTGTCAGGAGGAAATCCATTATCTTCTTGCTCTTTAACTTCAGAAAGGTCAATGATTCTTTTTAACTCATCTCCATGACCTGCACAGATAACTGGTATAACTAAGGATGTATTACCACTATCAGCAATCTGTTGAGATACTAGGTTATTCCTGTTGCATTGCATTCCTGTTGCAACGTGATACAAATAGCATCTTAAAGGGTTTCTCTATTTGCAAAAAATCTGTGAGCAAAAAAATGGAAAACAACTACAGTTAGCTTATGAGTCAGCAGTCTCCTAATTTCCTTCAGAGTAGTTGTACTTATATTATTCCTTTCCTGTTGACTTCCTGTTCGTACTTTGGCCTGATGATAAAGTGTTTCCAAGAACAGGACTTTCTCAGTTGTTGAAACTGTTTATATCTACCTACTGTACTTTCCCCCCTAATTGTCAAGGGTAAATGTATCTGTCTTTTCTCCTAGGTTCTGTTTAAATAGCTATAACCAAAAACCAGAAAACCAAACTCACTGCTGTCGAGTCTCAACTCATAGTGGGCCCTTCCTTGGGTTTCCGAGGCTGTATGACTGCGGAAGTAGATCGCCTCATCTTCCTTCCATGGAGCAGCTGGTGGGTTTGAACTGCCAACCTTCTGGTTAACAGTCAAATGTCTTAAGCACTATGCCACCAGAGCTCCCAATTAGCTAAACTATCCCCAAACTAAATATCCATGTCTGTATACAATACTGTGTTAACATCACATGATTCAGTGTAATAATAAAGTAAAAATGGAATAAATAGGCTGAGAAAGCTGGAAGATGGTATATGTGTAGAGGAGCTGTTTTCAAAACCTGTTCAAGTAGTAAAGAGCTCTGGTGGCATAGTTGTTAAAGCATTCAGCTGCTAAACAAAAAGTTGATGGTTTGAACACACCAGTTCCATCATGGAAGAAAGATGAGGCAGTCTGCTTCCGTAAAGATTTACAGCCTTGGAAACTCTATGGGGCAGTTGTACTCTGTCCCTTGGCATCACTATAAGTTAGAATTGACTCAATAGCAGTGGGTTATTCAGGTGGTAAAGCAGCTAAAAGTCATGGCTTGTTTTCTAGAATTTTACAAGCTACATACTTCCTCTTAATAATTTTACCAAGAGAAATTTCTATTACATGTATGTAGGTTGCCATGAAATATTTTTATTACATTTTTAAGAGGTGAAACATGTAAGAGGTTGAACAAAGGCTTGCTACCCAGTGTCTTACTTTATAGTTAAATATTTATTTAATATTTACAAACCTACTATGTGCCAGGCACTGTGCTAGGCATTGGGAATATACTGTTAACAACTTTCAATTACTGCTTTTATTTTGGAAATAGTAGTTGTCTAACTGTGGGAAATTTGAAAAAGACCCTAAGAATATCCTGATACTGTTCTAAAACCTAGAAAAAAGTGAGACAAGATAATAGGAAGCTTTTCTGATTACTGAATTTAGGGAAATATACATTTGTTCACTTTACTGTGAGTACCAAGGACTTAAGAAAATATTGAGAATTATAGTGATGAAAAATTTGGAAGAGATTGCCAGTTTTCAATCTTTAGTGTTAGAATGCTTCAGTCTCATGCATAATTTAGGAATAGTAAGTATTACTGGAGTAATAAGTCTTTGTTCTTACTAGTTACAATTTTGGGATCTTTTCTACTGATTTTGTGTACAAACAGAAGAGTTTACTTGGTAAGGTAGGTGTCAGTTTTAGTTTACTTTTCCCTCTACAGAGAGGAACAGGATTGCAGTCAGAAAACAATTATGACATGATCTTTGAAAATGTGTATTAAAATTGCTTTAACTTAATGATTATGTATTAAAAACAGAGGAATGGCTAAATAAGTCAAGCTTACTGTATTTTGAGTGTTTATTCATTAATTTCTCAAGATTGCCTGGGTTGGTGTTTTCCCAGAGAACTAGAAATGCCTTGTTCCTATATATAAATAAGTTTATTTTTTTCAAGCAGATAGGCTGGTGAGGAATAGTCAGCATTTGCCACCTTTTCTGTGCTCATGAGTGGGTTCCTAAAAATATTAAACCTTTGTGGGAATGCTTGAAACCTTCCCTTGAACATAAATAAGAATTAAAACCAGGAAGAGAGCCTCTCTCTGCCTTGGTGAAGATATGAATTTAGTTTACCATGTATAATCTAACCCTTTAGAAAATTTTCATGGTAATTTGTTGTTTTTGTTCTGGAAAATAATGCTTTTTCTGTACAACTTGGTGCATCTTTTGAATGTTGCCCTGATACAGTAGATAAGGAAATTGTAAAGCATGACAAACTCTTTATTTTAGACTAGTTAATGTGAGTATGAATGGCTGGTACCTTTTTTTTTTTTTCTAATTTGATGTTTTTAAAAGTCATACATATATCTATGGTTTTTAAATCCAATAGTAGAAGAATTTACAAGTATCAATTATTCTCCAAATCCTACCCTTTTTTCTCTTCAATTGGTGTCAACCACTTCTAATTTTGTTTTAATACTTCTAGTGATACTTTATATCTCTTAAAAAATAATGCTTTTTACTACTGCTTCCTAAGTAATTTTAGGCATCTATTGACTTATGCTAATATAATGATGAGCAATGATATCCCCTGTTCCATGTCCTCTTCTGAATCCAGCTTGCACCTCTGGAAGTTCTCTGTCAATATACTGCTGCAACCATTTTTTAATTATCTTCAGTAAGATTTTACTTGCATGGGATATTAATGATATTGTTCAATAATTTCTGCATTCTGTGGGATCACCTTTCTTTGGAATGGGTACAAATATGGATTTCTTCCAGTCAATTGGCTAGGTAGCTGTTTTCCAAATCTCTTGGCATAGCTGAGTGAGTGCCTCCAGTAGGGCATCCATTTGTTGAAACATCTCCGTGGGTATTCCATCAATTCCTGGAGCCTTGTTCTTCGCCAATTCCCTCAGTGCAGCTTCGACTTCTTCCTTCAGTCCATTGGTTCTTGATCATGTGCCACCTACTGAAATGGATGAAGATCGACTAGGTCTTTTTGGTACAGTGACTCTGTGTATTCCTTCCATCATCTTTTGATGTTTCCTGCATCATTCAATATTTTGCCCATGGAATCTTTCAGTATTGCAACTCGAGGCTTAAATATTTTCCTCAGTTCTTTCAGCTTGAGAAGTGCCGAGTGTGTTCTTCTGTTTTGGTTTTCTAACTCCAAGTCTTTGAACATTTCATTATAGTAATTGGCTTTGTTTGCTCGAGCTGTTCTTTGACATCTTCTGTTCAGCTCTTTATCTTGTCATTTCTTCCATTTGCTTTAGCTACTCTGCTCAAGGGCAGGTTTCAGAGTCTCTTCTGCCATCCGTTTTGGTCTTTTCTTCTTTTCTCATCTTTTTAATGATCTCTTGCTTTCTTCATGGATATGATACTCTTGATGTCATGCCACAGTTCTTCTGGTTTTTGGTCATTGGTGTTCAATGCATTAAATCTATTCTTTAGATGGTCTCTAAATTCAGGAGGGATATATTCAAAATCACATTTTGGCTCTCGTGGACTTATTTTAATTGTCTTCAACTTCAGGTTGAACTTGCATATGAGCAGTTCATTGTCTGTTCCACAATCAGCTCCTGGACTGGTTTTGGCTGAAGATATTGAGCTTTTCCTCCTCTTGCCACAGATGTAGTCAGTCTGGTTCCTGTGTTGAAGTCCAGTATAGCCACCATTTGTGTTGTTGAGAAAGGTATTTGCAATGAAGAAGTCGTTGCTCTTGCAAAATTCTGTTATGGGATCTCCAGCATTATTTCTGTCACCAAGGCCAAATTTTCCAACTGTCGGTGATTCTTCGTTTCCAACTTTTGCATTCCACTCATCAGTGATAATTAACACGCAACAGCGTCTAACAACAACAACAATATAAGTATATAAGTGAATGAAATACTCATCTACTGCCTCTAGCCCACTAATAGTTGTTACTGAGTAGTTGCACTGTTAACCAGTTGATTTTATGACTTCTTAAATAATACATCTAAACTTCTATTTCTTAATCCATCACCAATGGGAGTATCTCTAGACTCTTCACTTTATAAAACAAAGATAGTGAGACTCATGCCCTACCTTGGAAAAACTGAAATTAAAATTCTTGGCTTGAGTTAAAATGTGTAGTTTCATAAACAAAGACATTCATTGATCAGTCTCTTAAAGCTTATTCCAAACTGTATGAGAAAGGCGTGTTGTAGATATGAAGCAAATCAAAATGCAGCACAATTGATTTACTGAACAGTTAACTACTGAATAGACTTCTTTAATTGCTCAGGAATTGTGGCATTGAAGCTATAGAGAAGGAAATACAAATCATAGAATCCCGTTTTGCTTGGCTGAGTTAGGAGATTCTAAATTGTTGTATGACTCATTAAAAAAAAATAAAAACAAACTCACTGCTGTCAAGTCAGTTCAACTCATAGCGACCTTTTTGGGTTTCTGAGCCAATATCTCTATGTAAGTAGATTGCCCAGTCTTTCTTCCAAGGGGTGGCTGGTGGATTTGGACTGCCAGCTTTCTGGTTAGCAGTCAAATGCCTTAGGCACTACACCACCAGAGCTCCTTGTATGACTCATAGCAACCATATATGACAGAGTAGAACTGCTCCATAGGGTTTCCTAGGCTATGAACTTTATGGAAGCAGCCCTGGTGGTACAGTGGTTAAGCATTCCACTCGACTGCTAACCAAAAGGTCAGGGTTCAAATGCATCTGCCAACTCCAGAGGAGAAAGATGTGCCAGTCTGCTTCTGTAAAGATTACAGCCTTGGACACCCTATGGGGCAGTTCTACTCTGTCTTGTAGGGTCCCTCTGAGTCGGAATCAACTTGAGGGCAGTGGGTTTGGTTTTTTGGAACCTTTACAGAAGCAGATTTTCAGGGCTTTTCTCTCATGGAGTGGATGTTGGGTTCGAACTACCAACCTTTCTGTTAGCTTTCTTTACTAGTTTTCAATTTCTAGAGTTAACCTCTATCTGAAGAATAAAAAATTTAATTAAATCATAACCTAGGATACACTTGCAATATACAGCTAAAAACAAATATTTTCAATGAACAATGGAAAAAATACTACAAAAAGTACTGTTTTGTTTTCTATTCTAATTCTTAAAAGAAAAGAAAATAATGATGGTTGCAACCCGATAAATTGATATCATGACCAGATGATGGAGCTAAAGCTAAAGCTTAATGGTTGATAGTGTGGAGGTGTGAATTAATGTGTGTCTTTTCAGCAAATAAATAGTAAAGTAGAAAATATATTACTAATAATTATAACTTTTTCTCTCTTCTTCACAGGACGTTGGCTCTCTGGATTATCAGGAGCTTGTAGTTGACATTGAGGCCCGGCTGAGAATGGAAGGTGTGGAACTTAAGGAAGAATGGCAAGACGAAGATTTTCCAATGTGAGCAATATTGCAAAACAAGAACAGATTTAGAACAAAACTTTAAAATTTGTTTATTGAGATGTCACTTAACTAAATGAAAGTTGGGCTTCTTAAAGTGATACTAAATTTAGTATTTGAATACTACAAAATGAAAAGTGCCTTTCCAATAGTTAGAATAATTTTCTGGCACATAACAACAAAAACAATCTTACTTTCCAACCAAATATTTTTTGTAATCTTACATAATCTTTCATTTTTGTTTTGAACATTTAAGTTTCAAAATTTTTGCTATTGATAACAATGCCTTAATAAGGTATTGCTTACACTGGGATCTGAGGGATTGCTAGGAGGGGGGGTATTTTTAGTTATGTACAGGAATTTGAAAATTTTGTGTTTTTATTTAAAGATAAAGCTTTTAAATAAATAAACAAGGGTTTTCTAGATCATCTGGCCAGCCACTTTGACACATTTACATTTGTATTGGCATCAGATGGGTTAATGGGAAAGAACAAAGGCAGACTTTATATTTAAATGATGCTTACTAGCTGCCATGGTCAGAAGACATTCCAATAGACCATAAGATGCCTTAGCATTTGGAAGATGGACAGCTAGTGGGAGAACTGAGTCACTGCATAGCACATGATGATGATAGCGATACAGGAATGCTCCACTAAAAAGAATTGTAGCCATCATGGTCAGTAGCAATTTAGTTTCATCATCCATGGCATTAAATTCATGTATTTGAATTACATTTGTTTTGAAAATGTTGATAATTTTTATATTGGTTTTATAGTTGTATAAGAACTGTTAACAGAAAAAGTTTATATATGCTTTTATGTGTTACTTATCTACATTATGTCAATTCTGACTTTTTTTTTTTAAGTGGATTATAAATTACTAAAGTTTAAGAAACACTGCTTTACACAGTGTTCCGTACAATTATAAAAGCTATTTTTAAAAGACCTTTGAATTTCTAAATTCTTGATTTAAAAGTGTATATGTATATGTCTTCTAGACCTTTACCAGAAGATGATAGTATTGAAGCAGATATACTAGCTGTAACTGGACCAGAGAGCCAGCCCGGTAAGAATTTGACACTTTTAGTTTCATTGAAATGATAAATTTTAACTCTGCTATTTTTGAACACATTTCTTTTTCAAGGAAAAAAACTACACTGCGTGTTTATTCCATCACAAGGAGTCAAAGGATAAATTAAACTTTCAGTCAAGCGTTTTTGGAATGCTTTAGTTATTTTTGGAAACTGAACTTCCAAAAACATACCTTTGGTCCTTGAAATTTATACAATAAGGGGGTGGTGATAGTCATTTTTGCAGTCAGAAGTAACTGTAAAGTCTGCCACTAATACCTAAAAACACATACTCTTACTAAGATACCTTGTTTATATCCTGCCATGATGTAGAACCAGTGTTAGGTGCTGTCAATTCAGCTTTGACTCATAATGACCCTAAGTATGACAGGATAAAACACTGTGCGGTCCTGCACCATGCTGACAATCATTGCTGTACTTAAGCCCATCATTGCAGCCATGTGTCAGTCCATCTTGTTAAAGGTCTTCTCCCCTTTTTTTTTTTTGCTAACCCTCTACTTTTCTGAGCATGTTACCCTTCTCAAGGGTCTGGTTCCTTCTGACCACATGACCAAAGAAAGTATGAGAGATAAACTCTGGCCATTCTTGCTTCTAAGGAACATTCGGTTGTACTTCTTCAAGAGAGGTTTGTTCATTCTTCTGGAAGTCTATGGTATTTTCAGTATTCTTCACAGTGCCATAATTCAAAGCATCAATTCTTTTTCGCTTCCTTATTGAGCTTTCACAGACATGTGATGCTACTGAAAATATCGTGGCTTGGGTCAGGTGCACCTTAGTGTTCAAAGTGACATCTTTGCTCTTTAACACTTTAAAGAGGTCTTTTACAGCACATTTGCCCAGTGCAGTATGACATCTGATTTCCTGATTGCTGCTTCCATAGGTGTTGATTTTGGATCCAAGTAGAATGGAATCCTTAATATCTTCAACCTTTTCTGCATTTATCATGATGTTGCTTATTGGTTCAGGTGTGAGGATTTTTGTTTTCTTTATGTGGAGACATAATCCCCACCACAGGCTGTAGTCTTTGATCTTCATCAGTAAGTGCTTCAAGGCTTCACTTTCAGCCAGCAAAGTTGTGTCATCTGCATATTACAGGTTGCTAATGAATCTCCCTCCAATCCTGGTGCCGTGTTCTTCTTCATATGGTCCAGCTTCTTGGATTATTTGCTCAGCATACAGATTGAATAAGTATGGTGAAAGGATACAGCCCTGACACATTCCATGGTTTTAAACCATTCAGAACCTCTTGTTCTGTTCAAATGACTGCCTCTTGGTCTGTGGACAGGTTCCTCATGAACATGATTAAGTATCATGGAATTCCCATTCGTCTCAATGTTATCCATAATTTGTTACAATTCACATAGTCAGATGCCTTTGCCTACTCAATAAAATGCAGGTAAACATCTTTCTGGAAGATAAAAATTCAAAGTTTGTAAATTAACCAGTGCATTAAAATTGTGTTTAACCAATACTGCTTTTTTCAAGAATGAAGTGATTAGACATTTTTCTTTTATTTACCTTGACCATTTAAGCATTCCTTCTAATATATCTTTCACTTTATTTTCCATTTTAGATTCACTAGAAGTTAATGGCAATAAAGTACGAAAGAAACTAATGGCCCCAGACATTAGCCTGACACTGGATCCTAGTGATGGCTCTGTGTTGTCAGATGATTTGGATGAAAGTGGGGAAATTGACTTAGATGGCTTAGATACACCGTCAGAGAACAGCAATGAGTTTGAATGGGAAGGTAAGTGTTTCACTCTTTTTCTCTGATTTTTATTAATGAATATTTGTCTTCATATATATGTATGTTTTTACAGTGGCATTCGTATATTAGGAAAATTGGAAAAACTTCATCACGAAATAACTAAAATAATATTAAGAGATTTCTTTTTTTTAAATAATAAATTATTATTTTTAAAGTTTATACAGTTGTTACTAAGATAGGAAGTTCTGCTGAAACTAAACATTCTCATAGCTTTCAAACTGGTTATAGATTACAGGAGTAGCTTTATTTATTTCTTAACTGCCTCAATGCTGTAAAGTTTGTTCATGGTTGCTCTAAAAATACCGCTTGTTTATTATGATGTCATCTTTTATTCAGTTGGTTAGCTAAGAAAAAAAAATAAAATCTAAAAAACCTTGACGTAAGCATATAATTAAGTGAATATACGGAAAGTAGTTAAGAGTTTGAAAAGAAGTCTGAAGAAGGGAGTTTTTTAAATAGATTTATCTGATAGTGCTGTACTTTGAAAATACTTTGTGAAAGTACCTTATATTAAATTATACTGTATTATTTGCATGTAATGTACTCACGCAAATAGTGCACATAGGAAACTAGCGCATGAGGTGGTTGTGCGGTTTGCAAAAAAAACATTTAACACATCTGTTATTTGTGGAAAGATACAGTACCATTGATTTGAAAACCTTAATTCCTTATCATTTATTATTTGGCATTCAAAGGAATGGGCATGTATTACTTTGCATGCTTGCTTTAATTATGTGATTATTGTATACAGTATCTTTATATATGTAGTTATACATAATTTTTATATATGTATTCCATGTTTAAAATGTTTTTCACTTCAAAGCAGTGTTTAGCATTAGATTTCTGCTGTTAGAAGAGTAAGATTCTTGACATATCTTTTGTGCCTATTTTCTTCCTATTTTGCTGGTTCAATAAACATTCCAGTATTAAGAAATATTTTATAAAGATACTGAAATAGTTTTCTGCCTGTGTTTTGTCTCTTCTTTCTTTAATGCTACTGTAGTCATTTCCTGGAAGGATATTTTCCGTTAACAGCTTTGTCTTGGAAACAAAGAACTAACATGCAGTAGGTTCCCCTCCCCCCATCTTTTGGTAAGGATTATGATACTAAAATTCTGAAAATCATTACTTCCTTAAAAATCATCTAAAATGCAATCTTGAAACATAAATTACACTTAACTATTGGTGTTTATGTTTTGGCTAATGTTGATTTAAATACCCTTTTTTGCATGTACACTTCAGAATATTACAAATAAATTGCTGCTTTATAAAGCTGATCAAATGAGAAATGATTGTTGCTAGTTAACCACTTTCTATCTGATATTATACTATTTGGAGAATAATTTTATGTGCTCAACAAAAAGAATTGGCTTCCAGATAGTTACTCTAAGTAACACATAGTAGTAACTGTCAAGAACAGTGTCTTCATAGACAGAATCTAGAAAGGCATTACAGGACCAGTACACTAAGCTTTTGATGGTTGTATGAATTGTCTGAATTTATGGATATGCACTGTACTCTGATTAGGTGCTTTACTGAATTAGGCAGTAATAAAAGTTAAAAAACTATAATTTCCAAAATACATAAATGGCCTCATACAAACAGCAAGCCTTTCTTCCTATTGTGAAAGAGATACTTAAAATTCTACAGATGGTATAATGAAAAATGTTCTGAATAATCAAATTAGATAGTAAAGTGGTTAACGTGTAATTTTATTTTTATTGTGACAATAATAATTTGTCATTTCCAAACTTTTTATTTTGACAGATGATCTTCCAAAACCCAAAACTACTGAAGTAATTAGGAAAGACTCAATTACTGAATACACAGCAGCAGAGGAAAAAGAAGATGGACGGCGCTGGCGTTTGTTCAGAATTGGAGAACAGGACCACAGGGTCGACATGAAAGCAATTGAGCCCTATAAAAAAGTTATCAGCCACGGAGGTAAGAGTTACTGAAGATTGTTCCAGTTTCTTAATGTAATATCAGAAATAAAAAGTTTCCAGAAAACCCCTCTTGAGATCCTACATAATTTTGAAAAAATAATAATAATTTTTCCTGTTATTTCAGGAACATAACAGGTTTGATATAGGATACTACCAACATTTAAAAATTATTAATATATGCACACAGTAAATTCAGTAGGTATAAAAAAGTGTATACAATGAAAACTGTGTCTCTCCAGCCCCTATCTTTTAGCTACCCAAAACTGGGACTTTATTTTTCCCCTTTTCTTTGCAGTATAATCTATATACAGTGAAATGTTCTGATTTTAAGTATACAGTTCACTGAGTTTTAACAAATGTCCATGTAACCACAAATCTCACACTTCTCAAGATACAAAACATTTTTATTGACCTAGAAAATTTGCTAATACCCCTTCTTATGGGGTATTAGAATAACTATGATTCTAGCACCTGTGATTAGTGTTCTTAGAAGTTCATGGAAGTAGAATCATGTATGTACTCTTTTCTGTATTTCTTTTGCACATAATGTTTTTGAAATTCATCCATAAAGTTGCATCTATCTGTAGCTTCTTGTTTTTAATTGTTGAGTGGTAGTCCGTTGCATGGATAAACTACACTTTGTTTATCTCTCCTCTTGATGGACATTCGAGTTGTTTTAAGTTTTGGCTATTATGAAGAAAACTACTGTGAACATTCTTGTATGAGTCTTTTTGTGGATGTGAGTAAAGTCTTGGACTTTTTAAACTCTGTCTCTTAATTTACTTTAAAACCCTAAACAAATGAACTCTACCAAAACTAGCACATTCCACATTTTGTGGGATACTTACTTTGAGTGTTTGTGGAGTATTCAAAGGTACTTGGCATGGTCCCTTTGCTTAAGAAATTTATAAGTCAAATAGGAAAAGCTCTGAAAATACAAGTTATAACTTATATTAGTCTCACTATGCCATATATAGAAGCTTACCTGGTCACTGTGTAAATAGTGCCAGAATATTAGTAGTAGGCAAAAGCAGCAACTGACTAAAATGTTAAATGGGCAAATGTTGTGCTATATATATATTTTTTACACTGGAGACTTTTTTTTTTTTCCCCAAAGGGCACCTCACAGTCCCATATTACCTTGTATCTTCCTATCACAGGAGAGAGGGGACTCATAGGTTAAGAGACTGATTTTTTTATATAGAGTCATTTCCACTCAATTTACTCTCTGCTGAATGCATTCCCCTGCTATTTTGTACAGTCTTCATTCATCTGAGAGCACATCACTTGAATATTTGCAGTCATATTCTTCTGCCTAATTTAATCGTATTCAGATGAAGAAAACAGGGTAATCTGGATTAAGAAGTCCACAACTATACATTAATTCAGCCAGTTCATGAGAAGCAAGTTGTGAGACCTACCTTATGGTGAAGTGTAATCTTTCAGAAATGGCACTTTATTTTTCTGAGGGGAAAATAATTAAGGCCATTTTATCCTATTGGATTATCACATTTACTGTGTTTTGTGACAGAGGGATTAATAAAGGTAGTGAAGATTCTAATGAACTTGCAACATTGAAACCTTACTATAGAAATGAAGGTTAAAGCAGAAAAATTTGTTACTGGATAAAACTTATTATCTAGAGATTGTAATTGAAACACATTTTAGCACTGTTTTTCTTTGCTTAGAATTATGTTAGAGGTATGTAATCTTTTAATATCCTAAAATCTACAAATGCTAGGCCTTGTTGAATATAAAACTATCTTTTAAATAGTGTCTACTTTAAACATAAATTGTATAAGAGTGCATGAAAAAATAATTCAAATGTTGGTTGTATCCACTTAGATTATATCATATTTATCTCCTTGCTAAAATTATGCCAGTTTAGATATGTAATTTAGTTTTTATGCTCACCTTCTTTCCTCTTCAAATTTTGTTGTTTTTTTGGGGGGTGCGGGGAACTTGGAAGAGGGGATTTAAAGATCTGTGTAAGACCACATAAAGTATAAAACCTACTTTTTGATCCAGAAGTTTGTGGAAGGTAAACTACTGTAATCTTATCAATCATGCAGATTCCTCTGAGGAATCTTCTGAGTAAATGACAGTGGTAATTTAATTTGTGTTTCCTTCCTCCCCCCTCAGGATATTATGGGGATGGATTAAATGCAATTGTTGTATTTGCTGTCTGTTTCATGCCTGAAAGTAGTCAACCTAACTATAGATACCTGATGGACAATCTCTTTAAGTAAGTACGTCTTCACAAAAATGTTTGAACAGAATTCTAAACTAAGTAGATCTCCAGTTTAAGGAAATGAACATTAGCAATGTCAGAATTGTAAATGTCCCAGCTGTGATTCTGTAAGTCCTTATTCCTTGGTATTATGAAACTAGTTTTCCCACTCTACAGAAAAATTGTCAAATTCTAAAACATCTGTTCCAACACCTTTATTTTCACATGTTGAAGACACATTAAGTCCAAAGAAATAACTTGTTCTGACATATCTAAATTACAGTTAGCCCTGGAAGCCAAATATAACTGAGATGACTCTGTTCAATTATATTTTCATAGTCACTCTATGTCTCAGGTTAGTGCAGTTTTTTAAAACTTCATTGTGGAAAATTTCAAATATACAAAGGAAGAGAGAGGTTATGGTGAACCTTTGTGATCAATTTGTACTTTATTCCCACTTTTCCCTCCTCCCCCCACTGTTTTATTTATCAGCAAATCCCAGGCATCAATCATCTCATCTGTAAACATTTCAGTATGTATTGGCAAAACATAACTTGGGTGGAAAAAATCATAATATCATGTTTAGAAATGAAGAGTTTTTGCTTTCATTGAGGAAGAGGGAGGGGAACTATATAATTTAGAGAACCCAGTTCCATTCTACACAGCAATATTTAGGGCTTAATCTTAATTTGGGGAGCCTTGGTGGCATACTTGTCCAACTACGTGGCTACTTAACCAAGAGGTCTTACTTCAAACCCACTGGCTGCTCTGTGGGAGAAAGATGTGGCAGTCTGCTTCCATAAAGATTTATAATCTTAGGAACTATATGGGGCAATGCTGCTCTGTCCTGTAGGTTCACTATGAAACTCTATGGGGCAATTCTACTCTGTCCATAGGGTCACTGTGAGTTGGAATTGACTCAGTGGCAGTGGGTTTTATGGTTTTTCGTTAATATTAATTTGTTTTTACAGATATGTTATTGGCACTTTGGAGCTGTTAGTAGCAGAAAACTACATGATAGTTTACTTAAATGGTGCAACAACTCGAAGAAAAATGCCCAGTTTGGGATGGCTTAGGAAATGCTATCAGCAGATTGACAGAAGGTAATAAAAATACAAGTTGAAAGCTGAATAATTTTTATATTTTCCTTATTAGATTAAATTTTATTTTCTGTTACCACTTGTATCCATTACATTTATTCATTTCCTAGCAGGTTTTTATTTTCTCAGCATAGTATTGTAGAAAGTCACAAAGGAAATAAATTTTATCTCTTTTAATCCTTCAGTATTTTGCTAAAAAAAATTCTGTCTCCTTACTTATACCACATTGGACACTAACCAGAGTTTACATTTGGGAAAGGTTGAAGAACTTAATACATTTCCTATTTTATTACATTCTCTGAGTTCTTGCCTGATTTATAGTGCTTAGCATGTTTAATGTTTTTTTAGAGGTGCTTGTATAACTGTAATCACTTTTTATTATAAGTTCTAGAAATGTGTTCTCCTGGTAGTTAGAAATCCATGCTAATGGAAGAAACTGAGACCCTGCAGTTGGTTTGATTTGGTCATGGCTAATTTGAATTAATGTGACCCACTTAGACTCATTAATAGCTTCTCTTTTTTCCTTAATAAGATATGGGCAGTTCTTCTGATTTAAAAAAAAAAAAACCACACAATTCTTAATGGCCACTTTATTTTTGTATGAAATAAAAAATTTTTAAACTTTTATTCAGTCATTTTAAAAAGAAGAGGCCTAGGATAATATTTAGTATTTTCTCTCCTCCCCAATACTATTTTGCAACAAATTTCAGACATTTTGTCTTTTTATCTCTAAAATATTTCAATATGTATCTTTAAAAGATAGGAACTCCTTTGAATAATCTTGTTATTCAATGCAGTTTAAACTCCTTAAGAATGGGAGTCAGGTCTGATTCATAGTGTCTGTTCTTATGATCATGTCCACTTCTACCACTCTGCCTGCATGGTGCCCTTTCATGATATTGAAGGAATTAGTACCAATTTCCTTCCTGTCCTAGCAAATGAAACAGTTCACTCTGTATTGACAGACCTCTGGTTGATAGTCTTAAAAACAAGTGAATGTATACTCAAACCAGAAAGCAAACTCATCGCCATGGAGTTGATTCCAACTCATAGTGACTCCCATTGGGTTGAAAATTTTTACAGAAATCTTTACAGAAGCAGACAGCCCCATCTTTCGTCCATGGAGCAGCTGGTGGATTCAAACTGCTGACCTTTTGATTAGCAGCCAAATGCCTTAACCACTCTGCCACCAGAACTTGAATATATAAGAGGAAATGTTTAATAAAAAAATAAGCTCTACCATAGATATAAATTTAGCCAAATGAAGTAAAGTTATGTTATAGTGATGTCGGGGGATCATAAGAATTTAAGAGTGCGTTTTCTTGTCATCAGGAATACTACTTGGAGAACTCTTAGGTGAGCATTTAATTTACTGTTTTGTATAAACTTGTACAGACTTATTGATGTCTTAATTTTTATTTTTTAATTGTGATTTGGGTGAAAATTTACAAAGCAAATACACTTTCCATATAGCTGTTCACTTACACTTTATCTCACAAATTGACTATAATTCACAATGCAACAGCTCCCCTCCCACTTTCTCCCAACAGTCACCTCTTCCCTGTGTCCATCCTTCCTTGCGCCCCTGCCCCCTGAGTTGTCTCCCTGCGCCTAAACAGCCCTTCTTTCTCCCATGATTGTTCTCTCCAAGGAGTGTATCTACCTTAGGTAAATGTTCAACTCATATGCCTGTCTTTGTTTGTCTAGAAGCCACAGGTGTGGGTTCAATTCCAGACCTGAAGGGAAGCTAGGGGCCATAGTCTCAGTGGTTCCACCAGGCTCTATCAGACCATTAAACCTGGTTGTCTCCCCCCCCATTTTTTTTTCCCCAAATGATTTTGAGTTTTGTTCCACATTGTTCTTCCTCTCTATCCAGGATCTCCTATATAGATCCCCCTCCGAGTGGTTGATAGTGGTAGCTGGGCACCATCTAGTTCTTCTGGTCTCATAGTCGTATACTCTGCGGATCGCATGTTGTACCAGTCACTGGGACTAATTATTTCCATGAATCTTTGGTTTTCTTCATTTTCTTTGCTCTGGACAAGGAGAGACCCATCGTTGCATCTAAATGGCTGCTTGCAGGCTTTTAAGATCCCAGTCGCTACTCGCCAGAGTAGGAGGTGGAACAATGTTTTGTGTAGTATGTTATGCCAATTCAGCTTGTTAATTTTTCTTCTAGCAATGGAAAACGTAGAGTTTTTATTCTTTTTTTTAATTCCAGGTTACGGAAAAACCTAAAATCTCTAATTATTGTACATCCCTCTTGGTTTATCAGAACACTGCTGGCTGTTACAAGACCGTTTATTAGGTAATTTTCTTGAAAACAAAACTCTTGTATAAATTTCTTGTGAGTTCTGTTGATCAGACGTAATGAGATAATTGTTTTTATTTTCTTCCATAGCTCAAAATTCAGCCAAAAAATTAGATACGTCTTTAATTTGGCAGAACTAGCGGAACTTGTCCCCATGGAATATGTTGGCATACCAGAATGCATTAAACAGTATGTTTTGTTTTATTTATTTAATTGTCTTGGATCTTTATATTTTCATATGCAAGAGGTAAATATTTTTCACTACTCATTCTTCTTTCTTACTTAATTCTGTTATAAATATTTTGTAACTGCTCTTTTATATAGGGAGCTCTGATAGCATAGTGGCTAAGGCACTTGACTGCTAACCAGAAGGCTGGCGGTTCAAATCCACCAGCCACTCCTCAGAAGGAAGATGAGCAATCTACTTCCGTAGTGATACTGTCTTGGAAACCCAAGGAGGGGTCGCACATAACAACAACAACAACAACAGCTCTTTTATAATTAAAACAAAGGGGAGGAAGCCATTTCCCCCCACCTTCCTAGACCTAGAGACTGCTTCCCCATGCATGAGTCACCATTTTCTTTTTGCTTATTTGTTGAAGAATTAGAAGAAATAATTTCTTACTGTGACTGACTTTATATTTTTTAAAGACTGGGCACAATCTAAGAGATGATTTCTTAATTGGTCAGTACTAAAGAACATTCTCCAGAAGTGTATCTCTCCAAATCTGAATAAGCTCATCATGTCATCAAAGAACCATATTGCTAAAGAAATTAAATATTATTTATGTCAGCCAAACCGTAATACTAGGAGCTCTGGTAGCATAGTGCCTAAGGTACTTGACTGCTAACCAGAAAGCTGGCGGTTCAAATCCACCAGCCACTCCTTAGAAGGAAGGTTGGGCAATCTACTTCCATAGTGATACCGCTTCGGAAACCCAAGGAGGGGTTGCTATGAGTCGGGTCCGACTCAGTGACATATAACAACAACCACCATTGTGCTTTCCAGTGGCTGGAATCTGTTCTGTTTACAAAATTTATTTCTGTCTAACTTTTGAAGGACTTGGTGTAAAGGACTGTTAACAAAAATACTTGAGCAACAATTTTATACAGAATAGTTCCTTTACTCTGTTAATCTGAGGATTTAGTCTGATTAATGTGTCAAAGCCAGATTTACTAAGTCAGTTTTGACTTTATACATAGTGTATTAAATATTTTTAGTTTTGCCTGCAAACTTTAATGGGTTTATTTTTAGTGCGGTTTTTTTTTTTGTAGTTTTTATGGATAACAATGTATTTACTGAAATAACTCTTCCTTACCAAGGTATGAAGAAGAAAAGTTAAAAAAGAAACAAAAAAGGTATATGCACACCTTGACTGGGTTGCATCTAGACTAGTCCATTTGCATTGCGCAAACTAACTCTTCCTTACTGGTTGGTTAGCTTGTAGACAAAGATAATAGCATATGTAAATATAAATACACCCCAGTATCCAAATGCTAAGGAGCTCTGGTAGTGCAGCGCCTGAGGCATTTGACTGCTAACCAGAAGATTGACAGTTTGAACCTCATAGCCACTCCGTGGAAGGAAGATGGGGCAATCTACTTCCGGAAAGATTTACCGCCTTGGAAACCCAATGGGGGTCGCTATGAGTCAGAATTGATTTGATGGCAGTGGGTTTGGTTTGGTTTTTGATTATCCAAATACAGGGTGAAGCCAAAGTTCTTTATGCTAAATATGAGTTGGAGTTACCCTGTATTAACACCACATATAATGCTAATTAGGCATTCAAGGCCACAACCCCTCCCCCCTTTTACTTGGTATAAATACTAGAGGTAAAACTAGAGAAATTACTAAGAGTACTATTTAAAACATCAAATACTTTTGAAACTATATCTGTTTTCACCATTATCCTTATATTTATAAATTGTGCTTTTGAAATATTTATGCAAACTTTTTTAAGGGATCAGAATTTATTTCCCTGGGGTTGATGATTATATTTGCAATGTATATATTCTTTGGCTAACCAACATTGATTTCCTTAAATGCTTAAATTTAAATGGCCTGCTAACCAGCCAGATTCTACATGTGATAAAATACCTAAAAGTTCAGTGTGGCTTTTAACAGTTAAATACTTTGCTTTCCATTTTAAATTTAATTCTGAACACTTCTGCTTTGAGCATAACCAACTGTCTTTTCGTATCTTGACATAAGATGATGAAAAGCAAGGGTATAAAATAGTTGCTGTTTTATATATAGTTGACAGCAGTGTAGGGTTTGGATCTAATTTGTTAATGGATTTTAAAATACAATTAAGTTAACAAAACTTTATAATTTAATACAGTCGATCATTTCTTCAGAGTTAAAATGAGAGATATGTAGATAGCTTTGGTCATTTTGACCCTTTTAAGAAACCAGTTGTAACTAACTGGAACTTTCTTAACTTTGAACACATTTTGGCTCAGTTGACCACGTGATAGAATCCAAGCCTTACATTTCAGTATAACACTTTACAATTTAGCTGAGCTCTGGTGGTGCAGTGCCTGAGGCATTTGACCGCTAACCAGAAAGTTGGCAGTTCAAACCCCATAGCCACTCTGCAGAGAAGTGAACAGTGTTGCTGATTTCTTATTCCTTCCTAGGCATTGGTGTGCATTTGCCAGACAACTGTCTGAAATTAAAAATAAAGTTGAATTGTAGAATATTTTGAAGCTAGTTGTTTCATAAAGTTTCCAAGTGAATTGTCCTAGTTGATGAAATGTGCTTTTTGAAAAAGTCTTAGTATTTAATCACCTGTCAAGAAGTAATTTAAGCATAAACAAATTGAAAATGGAACTCATTGTACTTTTTACTTAAATCTATTATTTGAAACCTACCATTTCTATTTTATCTTTTTTATTTCTTTATTTTTTAAATTTTCATTTGTATGTCTTTTGGGCACTTCTTCATTTTTGTAGAATTATTTTAGCCTTAAAAAATAAATAAATCCTTACCAGCCTGAAAATGATAAAATTTAATTTTTGAAATAGGCATTTTTTAAAAAAAGCCAAAACTTAACAGGTACTGGGTATGGGAAGCTTATTGAAGGTGAGATCTCCCTTTTGAGTACCGGTGGTAGGGAGGGGTATAAAATTATGAGTGCAGTATAATCATAGTTTGCAATTTTTCAGATGTTTCTTTCAGCCAACTCAGTTAAGTATGACCAGGCAGATAGCAATTATTGAAATGTTTCAAATAAGTTTTAAAACAAAATAATTATGAAATTAGTTCAAGGATATTTCAGATACTGAACCTAGTAGGTCTGTATTGTATAACGTTTCAAGAGTGTGTACCTTTCAACTTTTTTATACTAGTATAAAAATATTTTTCAATGTTGTTAATCTGACTTTACCACAGGCCAGGGCTTTTAGGTCTGATTCAGTTCAAGTGTGTGATGATCACAGTAATGGAAATCAGTGTGAAAAGTATCTTTGTATATCATACAAGATTATTTATACACTCCTATCAGTAATTCAAACAACTACCAAAAAAAAAAAGATAGATTATTGTATATTATCTTTGAAGGGTTGTCTATAATTGTGTGGTAATTATGTAATCTTCTAGTCCCCACTTACATAAATTTTGGTATGACTTCTGTGTAACTTACCACTAATTCTAGTCAGATTTTTAATCTTCATCTAGGTATTTCTGAATCTTAAATTCTGATGACTCTTTACTGTCAAAACACGTGAAATGCATTCACATTCTTAATCTGCGCATAAATGTTGGAGAATTGTTGTGGTTTCTATAAATAAGTGTTTTTACCTCTGCATTTAAAAATATTAGTAGATCAACTGGTAGCATAAGTGACACTTTTTAGTTAACAAAATCATTTCTGAAGCAGTTGTTTTTCCTGCCAGTCTTTCTTACCATGTGAATCTTTGCCCCAGCCAAGCTATAAGTCAACATTTTAATATGTCAGTTGTACTGTGAACTTTAAGAAGGTATATGTGCACTTGTATGTAAGATATGTTACAATTTTTAAAGAAAGTTACATATCTTGCCAGTGACTTCTTGCCTTTAAAATTTCTCTTTCCTGGTTAGGGAAGTAATGTTTGGTAACCTTTTTACTATGTTTGCTTCTTTGCAAAGCTTTGTTTTAACAATAATATTCCATGCTAAAAGTGATCATTATTTTTAGAAAGAAAATTACTCAGTTCCTAGTCTCTCATCTTCTACATTGTTTTTCACAGAGTTGATCAAGAACTTAATGGAAAACAAGATGAACCAAAAAGTGAACAGTAAGTTTGGCATCTAATCCTAACAAGACAGAAGAATGTGCCCATGAAGCAATGCTCCTGGTTTTCTTTTTTTTTTTTTTTTGCATTTATAATGCATTTATTGACCCTATTTTTATGTAACAAACTACAAAGTTGACTTGACTTCTTCCTAATGGACTTTTGTAAAAGAGACTGTTCACTGCTGTATTGGTTTGCAAATCTCTTGAATTTAGCTCTTTAATAGCTAATTGTATTGTAATCATTTTATATTTTATTTTACAACATCAGAACCACACTTTCTATAAAGCAGTTTTGGCATTCGTTTATTGAATGATGCATCTTCTTCAGTAAAATATTTATAAGCATAAATGGTAAAGGAAAGAGATAATATATATTTTTATGTTTTTAAGCAGTATTTTTTAATGTATAACCTGTCTTGTGGACAAATAGGCGGATAAATAAGACCTTGATTTTGTAAAGTACATGTTAGAAATTTTGTTTTTGTAAATGGTTAAATACATTTCCTGGGTAACTTAGAAAATTAAGTTGCTCATAAGTGAGAGACAGTTAAACTGGGTCTCATGAATACCCAAAGATCCTTTTGTTTATGTACATAATCCAAGTAGATTAGTACTATCCTAATTTTTTTTCACTTAATGTATATTGTACATTAATTCAGAAGCTCAAATACAAGGGCATTGCACACCTTCCTTTTTTAAACTTAAAGATAATTCAAAAAGCCATCTTTGGAACTAAGAGAATTTAAGAGACTTGGAATTGGAGAGTGTATATATGTATAAATGGAACATTTTATCTTCTGGCCAGAAGTCAGAACTTCATAAAAATCTTAGGTTTGTTCACTAATGTGAAATAAGCTGTGTGTCCAGGGTATCACTCCCCTGAATTGGTGTGAGTGCCGTGTAGTAGTACAGGGAATGGGATGAGTTATTTACTGTCACTACTTTTCTGTAGAAAACAAGGGCTGCTTTTTAAACTGCTCTCAAGGCGGGCACTTTACCAAAATACTTCCATATCAGTTCTTGTAAATGGTAGATGTTTGACCTAGTCAGATATGGTGTGTTTTCACATTTCTGTTGAATCATGTTTGACAGTACTATAAATTAGGCTAACTTTATAAGTCTTAAAGCATCATTATATTGTGCTGTGTTTGATGATATCCCTGAAATAAGCACGTAAACTCCCTGTTTAATTTGGTAAGTATCTAAACTTTACACTGAAATAAATTATACTTGTGCTTCCAAACAGAACTTAATTACCCACAAAAACAACTTTACCACAGGGTAGGGCTATTACAGGAGCTCTGGTGGCATAGTGCCTAAGGCATTTGACTGCTAACCAGAAAGCTAGTAGTTCAAACCCACCAGCAACTCCTCGGAAGGAAGACTGGGCAATCTACTTCCATAGAGATACCACCTTGGAAATCCAAGGAGGGGTCTCTGTGAGTCGGAACTGACTTGATGGCAGTAAGTTTGGTTTTTGGTTTGAGGGCTGTTATGTATGATTTCAGGAATGTTCAGGTACATGAACTAATTTAATGTGTCTGTGTACTTGTGTGACTCACATACATATGGTAAACATAGTACCCTTCCAGCGTACTACTCCTCATCCCTTCCTATAAAATATTTTACGAAAGAGTGAACTGGAGTAGCAAAATAGAAGTGGATGTCAGCTAAATTTTTAAGGTTTGTTCTATTCTAGACTGAACACATATGTCTTTTATGATTGCCTTCCTTAGTATGAAGTTTCTATGACAAAAAGGGAACTTTCCTTTACTTTTTATCCTTTCCAGTCATGAACTTGGTATGTTAACTTAAATCCAATCATGGGAGATGCTGGGGGATTCCCAACCTGAGAGATTTCTCAGCAGTCCTGATTTATCCTGGATCTAGCAGCTGTAGGCAGATCCTGGACTGTCATTGTAGTGAATAAAGCCAGGACCGTTACTGCATGCTCAAATCTTAGAAACACTCGTGTTGAAGAAGCAACTAATGATAGCAACTTAGGCATTCCTTCTGAATTCATAATACGAATATTATGAATAAAGTATCGTATTGAATCTCATTGTGATTATATTCTCTGTTTATAAAGCATTTTAAGTAGACTTTCATCTATAGATGTTGTTCAGAGTGGGCTATTTTATTTTTTAATAGGTAGTTTTCCACCATAATAAGTACTTCTGTTTGAAATTTCAACTCTTTATTGTGTTTTTTGCTTTTGTGATTATTGTACTGAAATACAGATACAACTGGTTCCAAAAGTGAATAGTTTCCTTAAAATTTTTTTAACTAGAAATAGCTTATATTACTCTACTAGAACATTAAAATTTAGAGGGAACAGCAATAACACTTGATAGCAGAAAGGATGTGCTGTGAATCACTGGATTAAAAGGAAGTTTGCTTTAATTTATACCTTTAATGGAATCTTGTATAGGGAAAAGTCCCATAATAAATGTTTCATAACAGTAAAACTTAAGATCTTAACTAGTAGTTATAGAGTAAATTCAATAACTAAGTTTGCTATTTGTAGTTTGTAGCTATGTAATTTTTCTCCCATATTTTTTAATTTTAATTTTTCATTGCTGGCTGAATTGAAAGTACACATAAATGTATTATTTTACCTTTCCACTGTTGTTTTTATGTGCCGTCGAGTTGGACCCGACTCATAGTGACCCCTCCTTGGGTTTCCTAGGCAGTATCACTACGGAAGTAGATTGCCCCATCTTCCTTCAGAGGAGTGGCTGGTGAGTTTGAACCACCAGCCTTCTGGTTAGCAGTCAAGTGCCTTAGGCACTATGCTACCAGAGGGTCATGAATCTAATTGAACAGGTTTAATTTGATGCTTCTGATGCTATTTTTTCCTATACTTGGGCTCTGAGTGCCCCTTTTTACTCAAGATGCTCGTGAGGTAATCTGAAGTAATTTGATTCTGTGTTCTGCTTAACATATACCTAAATAGCACCAAGGAAAAACACTATATTGGCCCCACTGTATTAAGCTTAATAGTCTATAACTCAAAGAGAGATATGAAAACTACGATCTAGAGTCTGGCAGGGCAATTTAGGTAGGATGATGAAGAAAGAGAAAGAAAACTATAAAAGGGTAAAGAGTTAGCTGTTATCTAAGATGCCGCTGAATCTTGTTAAGGGAAGTACTGCAGGTATGGCAGCTAGTGCTGCCATTTCCTATATCCAAGAAAACTTGGCAAGCACAGAATATGTGAATAAGGAGACATGGGGCACAAAAAGGAAAAAGACTGATGATACATTGAAATAAATTGTACTTGTGCTTCCAGGCATTCATATTTTCCTCTGCTTTCTTTGTCTCTTCATACAGAAGCAAGCAAGCTTGAACAGAGAGGGTCAACAATTACAGTGCTCAGATGAAAGTTTAGGAGTGGGTTATTTTTTGTATTCCATGGTTGGTAAACTTTATTCTTCTAAAATGAGCACCACTGTTTAGTACACTGCATTGAATACTGAAATCTGCTGATTGACAAGTATATCTATAGCTGTGATTTCTTCAACTGCAATTCTAGAAATTTTAAAAGGTAAAGGATCCACTTTTTGATAGAGACTTCTTTTAAATGACTGTAGTGTTACTATCTGACTATTTTTATGTAAATGCTCAGGGAATTTGAAAGAGTGTTTGATTTCATGTAGAAGCTACCTTTTAGATTTCCTTAATTGACACATAAATTAGCATTAGGATTTGATAGGTAGAGGAGGCCAATTACCTAATGAACTTGGTTATATGGTTGTATCTTAAGATGACAGTAGCTTTATCTATCTTCCCTTTTCTACTTTACATGTGGAAAATTAGCATTACTCCATTGGAAGGGAAGAGGAGATAGGCTGAAAATAGAGATCATTACACCATTTCTATTTTGTTTTCATTCCTGTCCTTTCCCATTCTGTAGATTTATTTGGGAAAAAAAAGAATCACGGAGCAAATCTCAGAGGGATGTAGTAGCAAGAGAAATTAATAGAATTTCGGCCAACTATTCTGTTAGATAAGGAGCTCTGGTGGCGTAGTGCCTAAGGCATTTGACTGCTAACCAGAAGGTTGGTGGTTCAAACCCATCAGGTGCTCCATGGAAGGAAGAGAGGCAGTCTGCTTCCGTAAAGAGTTACCACCTTGGAAACCCAGTGAGGATCACTATGAGTTGCAATCAACTCAGTGGCAGTGAGTTTGGGTTTTTTTGGTTTATTCTGTTAGACAGCTTATTACAGGCGAGTTTTGGAGGCATAGTGCCTAAGGCATTTGACTGCTAACCAGAAGGCTGGTGGTTCAAACCCACCACCTACTCCTCAGAAGGAAGATTGGGCAATCTACTTTTGTAGTACACTTTGGAAACCCAAGGAGGGGTCACTGTGAGTCAGATCTGACTCGATGGCAGTGAGTTTTGAGCTTATTACAGAGAATAGAAATGGTGAGGATTGAGTTGCTGGGAGAGTCAACTGCATGGGAAAGCCAACTGTTAAGGGAAGGGGTGGGGAGAGTTACCTATTCAATGTTCTGAGCATGTACACAAAAATTAACTGTGGAGCACTTCACGTGCTCCCTCTTTCCAAGATTTCAAATGAATTAGATCAGGGATAAGGCCCAGTGATGTAACTTTTCTTTAAAGTTCTTAATAGCAATTGTCATCGAGTTGATTCCAAATCCTGGCGACCCCGTGTGTGTCAGAACAGAGCTGTGCTCCACAGGGTATTCAGCAGCTGCCTTTTCAGAAGCAGATTGAGGCGCCTCTGGGTAGACTTAACTCTCCACACTTCCTGTTAGCAGCTGAGCACATTAACAGTTCGTACCACCCAGGGACCCCAGAGTTCTAAATAGTGGGTGAAAAGAGGAGAACAGTAGAGTGATACTAAAAGTTAAATAGAACAGTTTGTTGCAACTACCTATGTGATAAATCTTTTTAATTTGTTTTGAGAACTAAAAAAAAAAAAGCTATGTAAAATAGCACATAAAGCACTTAAGAATAAATCAAGCACCAGACCAAGAGTTTAGTACTATGATGATACTAGTCTGTTTACTTCAGATAGCTATTTAATTTTATCTTATAAGACATTCTGAAAACAAGTTAAAGTATGCATTTTGAGATTTTTACATCTTCACATTCAGTTTCACTACAGAGGAATGTGTAAAATAACGTTAAAAATAATCAGCTTCTCCACTGCACTTTTTGTATACAGACTTTCTGAAGTTATGTCCCTTAAGTGGTTGCTTAAAATTAGTTAGTAAATATTGGTGGTGGTCATGCCCGCTGCCTTGGCACAGCCCTGGGGGCACCATTCATGTAGCACACGATTCAGAGTTTGTTAAAAAACTAACGCACTTTAATATGTATTTCAAGAAATTTTTTACCACAAGTTCACATGCTGTCATTTAGACAAAATGTACTGTAATCATTTTTTTTCTACTATTCAGATGATGTTGCCTAGACTAGTACTGTCATTTTACAGTGTGAGAAACTCAATTATGGTAACTGTGTGTGTAAAATGTTGATGTGGTCCCTGTAAGAAATACTAGGACTGGTCTTGATTTACTAAGGAAATGTAATACTTCATTTTCCTTTGACCTATAAGGAATATAGTAACTTGTGTTCTGATTTGTTATGTATCATATTTTTGAAACATTAATGAATTTCAATAAATTAATTGGAAATTTTGTTTTTGCCTCATTTTATCACATTTTTCTGTTTTCTACTGTGCTACAAAATGGAGAAAATAACTGAAGTTGTCAAGATTTTCATTTTACTTGGACACTCATGGAAGCAGCAGTCAAGAAATCAAATGGCATATTACACTGGGCAAATCTGCTACAGAGGACCTCTTTAAAGTAATGAAAAGCAAAGATGTCACTTCGAGGACTGAAGTGTGCCTGACTCTAGCCATGGTGTTTTCAATGGCCTCATATACATGTGAACGCTGTATAATCAGTAAGGAAGACTGTAGAAGAATTGATGCATTTGAGTTATGGTATTGGTGAAGAATATTGAAATATACCATGAACTGTCAGGAAAACAAACAAATCTGTCTTGGACAGTTAGAATGCTCCTTAGAAGTGAAGATGGTGAGACTTGGTCTTACATACTTTGGACATGTTGTCAGGAGAGACCAGTTCCTAGAAAAGGACATTATGCTTGGTAAAGCCGAGGGTCAGTGAAAAACTCAATGAGCTGGACTGACAGACACCGTGGCTGCAACAATGGGCTCAAACATAGCATGATTGTGAGGACAGTGTGGGACTAGACACTTTTATTCTGTTGTATATAAGGTCATAATTAGTTGGAAGCAACTTGACAGCACCTAACAACTAAATTTTTCCCATAAATTATCTTGTAGGAGCTCTGGTAGTGTAGTGCCTAAGGCACTAGACTGCTAACCAGAAGGCTGGCAGTTCAAACCCACCAGCCACTCCTCGGAAGGAAGATGGGGCAATCTACTTCCGTAGTGATACCGCCTCGGAAACCCAAGGAGGGGTCGCTATGAGTCAGGTCCGACTCAATGGCACATAGCAACAAATTATCTTGTAAGCCTTTCAAAAAATTTCAGAACTTTACTCTTTATACAGTTTCTGTAGTCTGGGTACTTCCTTTACTTTGGGGAATGAAGTGAAGTTCACAATGTAAACATTATCTTAACTATAAATTGGACTTTGTATTATGGTTTAAAATTTTAATTACGAATCCAAAGATTAAATGAGTTCAAGAAATGACTGAAAAATGGCATGAGAACCTGTTTAGTTTATAGACCTACTGGGAGGTTCCAGTTGGTAAGACTTGTTTTGCAATCACTGTCACTATTCAGCTACTTACTAATGTACACATTACTATTAACTGTAATCCACAGAATACCATTTGCGGACACTTAAATTGGGATTATATGAACTCAGAATGCCAAGTATTTGCCCTGCATTAGGCAGTTTTAATATAAACTATCCCAAATTAAAATTCTTCATCACAAACTAAACGCTCACTGGGCTAAATGAATTGCAGTCCTATTTTGAATGATAACAAGTACCTAACATAATCTTAAGAATTTCTCTTCAGTTTGAGTATTGCTGGCCCATTTCTTAAATTGAGCATCTAACGGTGGAGAAGAGTAGTCCTGAAAAATAATTTCTTACAAACGATATAGTAAGCTTGCATTTTCCCCCTGGCTATTCCAAAAATAGGAGCTCTGGTAGTGTAGTCCCTAAGGCATTTGACCGCTAACTAGAAGGCTGGCAGTTCAAATACCAGCCACTCCTCAGAAAGATTGGGCAATCTATTTCTGTAGTGATACTGCCTCGGAAACCCAAAGAGGGATCGCTGTGGGTCGGATGCAGCTCCACAACAGTGAGTTTTCTGGTTAGGCTTCAAAAACTCAATCTGGGGGCTGTTCAAAACCAGCCGCACGATCCTACCTTCTCCCCAACCCGCCCTACCGGTGCCAAGTCCTGAGTGGCATGCCTGAGTGAGGGGTGGGCGGGGCCTCGGGTGTGGTGTCGTTTCCAGGTTCCGCAAGCACTTCCGGGTCGTTGGCGCAGCTCTGCGGTTTTTGCGGCTGCTGGAGAGAGGTGGTCAGGAAGTAGCCTTCTGTTTGGGCTTCTGTCCGCTCCGCGGCGGGAAGCGCCTTCCAACAGGTACTGGGTTAGCTGGGCCGGGTTAGGGAGGGAAAGCTGGGGCCACGCTCCCTGCTAACCTCCAGAGTTGGGTTGCTGCTGGGTCTCTACTAGGGGAACCTGGAGGGCCCTTCGTTCTGGTGCCCAGGGTGGGCCCGTTACTGACTTCACTGCCGCCGTCGGTACCCTGCAAGGGAGGCGAGGCGGCGGGAGAGAGTTAACGTCTTGTTGCGGGAGGCTTGTTGTCAGCGGGGGCGTCCGAGTTATACCACCTACAGCTGCACGACCCTAAGAAAGGTCAGCCCAGCTCCGTATTTTTAGCCAGTTGAATGTCTTCAAGTATCCAGGTCAGCGACTGTTTCTTGTCACATTATCGATGGAGCGCATTCCGTGTCTTTCATTCCTTTTCCTCATGCGTGTTTGAAGTCTGTCTTCCAACTTTCTTCTTGAGAACTCCGACAAAGGAAGGAATTTAAACTATGTTGTTTGATCAAGGAAGACTGGGACTATTTAATCACTTCCGAATTTGTAGCCTTAAATTTCTAAACTGTAAAGTGAGATAGTACTAAGTTTCTGTGGCTTATACTCCATCTGAAATACTTGAATACTTCACAAAGAATAGTAAGAATGTAAGACCATTACAGTGAGTAATTTTAACAAATATTTAAATAACTTATAGCTGTGTTCCAGATCTGTTACGCTTTTCTCAAATGGAGCATGACACAAGATTCTGTACTCCTGTTTTGTTAATTTTTTGTCTCCTGTTAGAAGCTCTTTTCTGACCTTTTTGACCCTTTTTTATTACCCCCCCCACACACACACACCCCCATACTTCCTTTCTGATATTTTGCCTTCATTCATTTATTGACCAAATATTTATTTGGCTTCTGTTATGTGTCCAGTACTGTCCTGAGTGCCTAGCTTACTTTAAGGAATAAAATAGTAAAAAAATCTCTGCCGTTGTGTAGCTTCCACTCTTTAGGAGGAGGCATAAAATAAGTAAATTAAGTAATGTGTTAGAAGGTAGTGGTGCCCAAAAAAACAGAACTGGATAAAGGGGGTGGGGATGTTCCAAAGTCGGGGGTATGGGGGCAGGAGTAAGTGTTTTCAATACAGTGGTCAAGTTAGGCCTTGTTGAGAAGCTGCCACTTGAGTAAAGACTTTAATTAAGGAATTGAGAGAGTTAGCCAAATGAATATGGGGGAAGGAGCATTCCAGGCAGGAAGAATGAAGGCTCTGGGCCAGGAGCATGCTTGTCAGTTCCAGGGAAACAAGGAAATTAGCCTCATGTGGAGAGGGATAGGCAAGGGGTAAGCAAAGGGGACATGAGTGTAAGTATTAAAGTCCGAGGTAATGGATAGCTAAATCACTGTAAAGACTCAGTGAAATGGGAGCTGTGGAGGTGCTGAGCAGGAGACGGACATATCATAATCTGTGTTGGAAAAGATCACCCTCTCGGCTGAGTTGAGATTAGAGTGTGCAGGCAAGGCAAGAATGGAGACAGGAAAACCAGCTGCTGTTGTTGTTAGGTGCCGTTGAGTTGGACCCGACTCATAGGGACCCCTCCTTGGGTTTCCGAGGCAGTATCGCTAAGGAAGTAGATTGCCCAAACTTCTTCTGAGGAAAACCAGCTAGGAGGCAGTAATCCAAATGACAGATGATTGTGGTTTATACCAGCATGGTAACAGTGGACATGGTGATAAATGGCTGGATTCTGAATGCATTTTTAAGGTAGAATTTTATAGGATTTGCTAGGTAGTAGATGTGGAAGGTGAAATTGGGGGCATGGGGAGTGCGGTTATGACTAGAAAAGGTTTTGCCAAAGGCCATGGAAGTATGGTGTTAGATGAGATAGGAAAGACTACAAGTGCAGATGGTGAGTACCGAGTTGGATCTAGGAGTGAGGGGTAAAGGGGAGGAGTCTGCACTAGTGTGACTTTGAGAATCATTAACAGTGATATTTAAAGCCATCAAACTGAATGTTATCACTAAGGAATGAGTGTAGACAAAAAACAGCAGAGGACCAAGTACTTTGTCCTATGACATTAAGAATTCAGAGAGAAGAGGATCAACCAACAAATGATATTGAGAAGGATGAACCAGTGAGATAAGAGGACGACCCAAAAAAAATGTGTTGCGGCAAGCAAGTGAAGATGCTTTATCAGAGAGGAAGGGGTAAACAGCTGTGTCGGATACTCAAGTGTGGTAAGGATTGAGAATTGAAGATTAGCTTTAGCTATGTTGTTACTGATCTTTAGCATCTGTTTGAGTCTGGAGGTGCACAGAAATGGGAATGAGTTTTAAAAAAATGGAAGAGAAAGAATGGGATACTATTAGAGTAGTTTTGTTGCAAAGGGAATAGAGAATTAGGATGGTAGTTGGCAGGGGAAATGGACTGAGATTTTTAATCTATTTTTGTGATGTGAGAAGTACCCATCTCTTTCTTTGCTAATGAGAATAATCTGTAGGGTGGAGAAGTTTGATACCAAAACCAAACTCAACTGCCATCGAGACACTTCCAACGCATAGCAACCCCTTTGGGGTTGCAGTAAATCTTTACGGAAGTAGACTGCCCAGTCTTTCTTCCACAGAGTGGCTAGTGGGTTTGAACCACCAGCCTTCTGGTTAGCAGTCAAGTGCCTTAGGCACTACACTGCCAGAGCACTCAGGTGCCTTAGGCACTACACTACCAAAGCTCCTTGAGAACTTTGATACCAAAAAAAAAAAAAAAAAGCCTTACTGCTGTCAAGTTGATTCCGACTCACAGAGACCCCCTTTGAGTTTCCAAGGCAGTAAATCTTTACGGAAGTAGCTTGCCTTGTCTTGTTTCTGTGAAGTGGCTGGTGGGTTTGAACTGCCAACCTTCTGATCAGCAGTCAGATGCCTTAGGCACTACACCACCAGAGTTCCTTGAGAAGTTGGATAGGGAGAGGAAAAAAAAAATTGAATTGTTGGAAAGATACTCTCCAGTGTACTAGAGGAGATACGACATACTACAGAAGTAGAAGCATTGGTAAGAGCATGTTGTTGTTATATGCCGTCGAGTCAGCCCCAACTCACAGTGACCGCTCCTTGGGTTTCCGAGGCAGTATCACTATGGAAGTAGATTGCCCAACTTTCCTTCCGAGGAGTGGCTGGTGGGTTTGAACCGCCAGCCTTCTGGTTAGCAGTCACATGCCTTAGGCACTATGCTACCAGAGCTCCCTAGTTCAAATATAGTGACAAGTAGGAAGGCACAGTACAGGGTTGTAGATGTTGGTTGGTGGTTAGAAGTGGTTATGAGAGTCTGAAAGTTCTCATTGCTTCAGTTTCTTCGGTACAGTAGAAAACTTTGTATCACACTTGCATACATTTATAATATTTGATAGCAGTACTTTGACATGAAAGTCATTTACTCACATGATAAATACTTACTGAATACGTATTACATACTAGGCAGCTGTTGTAGGCAGTAAATATATAATTGAGTGAAGTCTGCCTTCATGGAACATAGACGTTAGCAGTTAGAGACTTAAAAATAAGCATGACATATATATGTCAGCTTTGATTGTGGGTATGAATGAAAATAAAGCAGTGTAACAAAGAGGATAATTCACTTTTATACATTGGTCACAGTATCTCTTTGATAAATTGACATTTGAGCAGAGATGAATGAAATGAGGGCATGGAGCATTCCAAGACCATATTTTTTTTTTTTTTTTTTTTTTAGGATTTGGGTGAAGATTTACAGAGTAAATTCACTTTTCATACAGCAGTTCACATATATTTTGTCTCATGTCATTGACCAAAATTTACAATGCAGCAGCTCCCCTCCCACTTCCTCCCCATAGTTACCTCCTCCCAGTGTCCATCCCTTCATACTCTTCGAGAGGCCCATTGTCCAAGACCATATCTTGGAAGAACATTCACAACAAGAAAAGTCAGTGCAAAGTCCCTGAAGCAAGAATATGCTTGTCATATTGAAGAACAGCAAGAAACCAGTAGCCAATCCTCAGAAGGATGGTTGGGCAATCTACTTCTGTAGTGATACCGCCTCAGAAACCCAAGGGAGGGATCTCTGAGTCACATCTGACTTGACGACAGTGAGTTTGGTTTCTTTTGTTAGTATGACTGGAGCAGAGTGAGTGAGGGGTTGAATAGAGGCTAAGATCAGAGAGGCAGTCAGGGGCCCAGATCATGTAGTCCTTGCAAACCATTACAAGGACTTTTTATTGTGATTGATTGAGAAGCTACCACTGGAGGATTTTGGATAGGTGAGTGATGTGATTTACCTTAGGTTTTAAAAGGCTCAGTGATTGTTCTGAGGGAATGGCAGTGCGTGGGCAAGGGTAGAAACAGGGAGAGGAGATCATTTAATGGTAATCTCAGTGACAGGTAATGGTGACTAGCAGTAAAAATGGTAAATGTCAGATTCTGGCTATACTTTGAAGGAAGAGCTGAAAAGATTGCCTGGTAGAATAGGTGAAGGTTAAGAGAGAGAAAAAAGTTGATGATGTAAGCTGTAGGGGCAGTGTTACTGGAAAAGTAGAGTTACTGTTTACCAATATGGGCAAGACTAAAGGCACAGCAAGTTTTGAGGAATAGTATCAGGAATTTGGTTTTTAAAAAATTAGATTTTTTAATAGGTCCCTATTTGATATTTCCATCCATTATCAAGTAGGCAGTTTTATATGTGGGTCCAGGGAGAGAAGTCATGACTGGATATATAAATGTGGGAGTTATCAGCAGACAGTGTGTGCTGTTGAGTTGATTCTGACTCATAGCAACCCCATAGGGTTTCCTAGACTCTCATCTTTACAGGAGCAGATTGCCAGATCTCCTCTCCTATGGAGCTGCTGGTAGGTTCTAACTGCTGACCAGTTGGCAGCCATGCAGGGATCCTTATCAATGGTTAGATGGTATGTTTAAAATCATAAGCCTGGATGAGATAACCAAGCAATAAAGAGCATATAGGAAAGAGGACATCAGAATTCTTAGGGTACTTCCATAGTTAGAAGTCAAGAAGCTGAGGAGGAACCAGCAAAAGAAAACATGAAGTTCAGGAGTATGCTGTGAGGTTGTGTTGTCTGACATGCCAAAAAAAAAAAAAAAAAACCTTTTTGTTGTGTCAGATGTTACCAATCAGGTGTGTAATGTGAAAACTGATGGTTATTTTGCTGATTTTTACCTGATGATTATTCCTGAAATGTATCTCCTCCTGTACTTTTTTAGACTGAAAGTGCCAGGTGGTCAGGGATCTGATATCTGATAGGTAGTGGAAGCGCAATAAATATTTGTTGAATGTGTACTATCGCCATGGTTTTTGAGTCCTCAGCCCTCTCATCTGTTTCTAATCTTACCTTGAAATACATTCTTCACATTGCTGCCCATTTATCTGACCCTGATTTAGAATGCTTCAGTGGTTCCCTGTTACCTGCACCGTACAGTCCTGGCACCTGGCACAAGTCCATCCATGCTGTCTCTTTCATCTTCATCTCCTGCCACGTTGTTAGGTTTTAATCATACAGAACAGTTCATAGGTTCTATCCACAAACCTTATCATTTGCCTAGAATGACATTCCATTGCTTGGCTAATATCTAGCTTTAAAAAATCAACTTGGCTTTTTTGAATCAACTTACTCTGTTTTCAGGTACCCTGCATAGTACTATGTACATACCTCTATCACAGTTCTTATTTTACACTGAATTTAACTTTTTTGTCTGTCTTTTACTCTCTCTATGGAGTTTGATTTGCTTATTAGAATGAGTATTTCCTTATTCGTCTTTGCAAAAAGGGTGTGGGGGTGGCATCTTCTGACCTCCTTTAACTTCGCAGGGAGGAAGGAGGATACAGAACAATATCAACAGCCCAAGCTGATTTCTGTGAGATAGAGGTCAGACATGCCACCACCCGCTAACCTTTTTTACTGGTTCTGATACCAACACTCTCTCCCATGGTACTCTCCACTTCTCTGCTAGGTTTGATAATCTGTTGCAGTGGCCACACAGAACTCAGACAGTACTCAAGATAATAGGGCTTATTAGAGAAGGAACAGGTTATACAAGTCAGGATATAGTTCTTCAATCAGGACAGCTTCTCAGCCATGTCACAGGCCTGCTTCTGTATGTCTTTGGCCTCTGCCCTGCTCTGGCCATTGTTAGAATGCTTTTCTAGCCTTGCTAAATAGGTGCCCAGAGAGATACCCCACTATGTCAGCAGGCCTCCTGCCTGAAGGCTCTTCTGCTAGTTTCTTGGTTCTGTTGTCTTTGTCTTCTTTGTCTTGGTTCTGTTGTCTTTGTCTTCTGCTAGTCTCTTGGTTCTGTTACCTCTGCTGCTGCTGTTTTTCCAGTCTCAGCACAGGATCTCAGGTCCAAAGATACACTCCACTCCTGGCTCCTCTTTCTTGATGGCAACGAGATCTCTTTCTCCATATCTGGGATGGCTCATTTTAAGCCTAGTGGGATGACAAAACTGACCAGTCCCCATGTTAGGGTTCCATATACCTTATTTCCATGCTTTCAACCTCACAAGGGTGCCATGTACCTTATTTACATAATTAGCAAGCTGTCGCATCCCCTTGGTGGGCCATAAGCACCTTACATTTTCATAATCCCTCCCAGTTACCTGGTGGAAGAGCCATACTAAGTCATAAACTACACCACAATCTTCTTCTCACTCCTTGCCGTTAATATTGCCATCTTCATGGAAGGTGCTCCATAAATACTGAATTTTAAAAGAAAAGGAAAATGAAAGGGAAGCCATGCAAATGTAAGCTGAAGATTGTCTGGATCAGTAATTAGAAAGTATGGTATTAAGTAAATTCTAGACTAAGTCTAGGAGCTCTGGTGGTGTAGATCCTAGGTATTTGACTGCTAACCGGAAAACTCGTGGTTCAAACCCACCAGCCACTCCTTGGAAGAAAGATTAGGCAATCTACTTCCATAGAGATAAGCCTTGGGAACCCAAAGAGGGGTCACTGTGAGTCTAATCAACTTGATGGCAGTGAGTTTGGTTTTTGGTTTAGACTAAGTAAAAAGGCAGAAATTTTTTTAAAATGATAAAGATGTATTTTATTAGCTACACAAAGACATTTGCCTGGTCTGTAGATCATAACAAATGATAGGTAACATTGCGAAGGATGGGAATTCCAGAACGCTTAGTTGTGCTCACGAAGAACCTATACATGATTTCAAGAGGCAGTCTTTGGAACAGAACAAGTGTGTGGTTTAAAATTGAAAAACGATGTGTGAGTGTTGTATTCTTATTTAATCTATATGCTGAACAAATTATTTGAGAAGCTGGGCCATATGAAGAACATGGCATCAAGATTGGAGAAAGATTCATTAACAGTCTGAGACATGTAGATGATACCCACCTTGCTTGCTGAAAATGAAGATGACTTAAAGCACTTACTGATAAAGGTAAAAGACTCCAGCCTTCAGTATGGATTATATCTGAACATAAAACAAAAATTCTTACAGCTGGACCAGTAAACAGCATCAGATCAACAATCATTGCCCGTGGAAGTAACAGTCAAAAGATCAAATGACATATTACATTTGGCAGTTGGTATGCCTGACCCCAGCCATTGGAGCCATTGTCTTTTCCACCAGCTCATTTGCATGTGAAAGCTGGACAATAAAAAAGGAAAACTCAGGAACAGTTAATGCATTTAAATTGTGGTGGTGAAGAATATTCAATATACGTGGACAAGCAGGACAAACAAATCTGTCCTGAAAGAATAGAAGCAAGGATGGCAAGACTTTGTCTTGCTCATTTATTTATGCACTTTTAATAACTCGTTATTGTGATTAAGGTGAAAGTTTACGGAGCAAATTGGTTTTCCATTGTTGAATGACTTCACACACATTTTGTGACATTGTTTGCAATCCCCACAATGTAACAGCTCCCTTTCCACTTCTTCCGGTGTTTACCATCTCTATTTGTCCTTCTTTCCTATCCTTTCCTGCCTTCTGAGCTTTATATCCCTGGGCAAATGCTGTCCTTTTTAGTTGATTGTTCTAAGGAGTGCCTACTTCCCTGGTGTTATTATTGATATTATAGGCCAGTCTATTATTTGGCTGAAAATTGAACCACAGGGAGTCAGTTCAGTTACCCTGAAGGGTATCTGTGTCTTTTCTTACTTTGGACATGTCTTCCAGTTGCTAGAGAGTGACATCCTGCTTGGTAAAGTAGAGGATCAGTAGAAAAGAGGGAGAACCCTCAGTGAGCTGGATTGACACAGAGGCAGCAACAGTGGGCTCAAATACAGCAATGACTGTGAGGATGCCATAGGACTGGACAAAGTATGGCTCTGTTATACATAGGTCACTATCAGAGCTGACTTGATGGCATGTAACAACTTATTTAAAGTTAGTGTAGTACCTATGTAAAAATAACAGGAAAAAAAATAAGAAAAATCACTTAAAAATAATCCTTCTGATGTTAAAATTATTATATAGTAATTTGCACTTACTAAGAGTTGTAGTAGTAGATAGTAGAATATATGAAGTAGTCTATATTATATACATAATATATAATATAAACATAATCATTTTAACACTTTCATATTAAATTTTTAGGACATCAATGCAAGCCTGAATAAGAAAAACAGTTTCTTCACCTAAGCCATGGCATATCAGTTATACAGAAATACCACTTTGGGAAACAGTCTTCAGGAGAGCTTAGATGAGCTCATACAGGTGGGATACTGACAAACATTTTTTATTTAGATGGGTCTATACTTTTTGGGTCGGAAGGAAGGTTGGGCAATCCTACTTCCGTAGTGATACTGCCTCGGAAACCCAAGGAGGGGTCGCTATGAGTCAGGGCCGACTCAACGGCACATAACAATAACAACAACGACATACCTTTTGGGGGCCATATCCTTTATTGCAGGCAAAGAAAGAGGTGTGAGGTGAAATGCCTTGGACCATTTGATCCAGCAAGTTAGTCTCACTGACTGAGAAATAACCTTAAATTCCTGTCCCGATTACAGGACATTCATTACGCTGTCCTGACTTGAGGGCATAAAATATAATGATGATTGAATGATATAGTTGAATATATCTAAATCTTCAAAGATTTTTGTTAAAGATAAAAATTGAGGTTGTTGGTTTCACCCTTCTTGTATTTATAAGAAAGGCATATTCTGTGCACCTTTAAGATAATTTTGTCCATTTTAATAAATAAGTACTTCTGTTTGTTTAGATAATGTTTTATGGGTTTTCAATAAGGTTTATTAGCTTTTTTGTTTGTTTATTTAATATGTAGTATATAGGTTCTGTGTTTTTCTCATTTAAAAGAACCTTGGTTCCCTCAATTTATTGAACATCTCTTTCTAGACATTGTGAAGGAAACACAGGCAAAGTTTTATTCTGGCTTTGTAATATTACAGCATGTTTCCTTTTTAAAATTAGTTTTGTGTCAAGATACTACAAAAAATATTTTCAGGCTTTGCTTCTTCCTATTTGTCAGTTACGGCAAAGGAGAATAATGAATTCTAGTTTAGAGGCCCTGGTTAACCTCAGTTAAGTTTTAGATGATAATTCATACATTTTTATTTAAAGTCTTTAATGTTCTTCCCTAAGAAGATTTATGACCTTTACTTTTTCTCAGTCTCAACAGATCACCCCCCAACTTGCCCTTCAAGTTCTGCTTCAGTTTGATAAGGCTATAAATTCAGCACTGGCTCAGAGGGTCAGGAACAGAGTCAATTTCAGGGTAAGGATATTTTCCTAAATCTAGAAGCCTGTACCAAAATGGTTTTAACAAGAGTATTTTTTAGTGTCCCTACATATTTATCAGTCATAATAAAAAAAAGATGTCTGTACCAGCATTTGAAACTGGTTTTTGTAATAAATAGCTAAATTAATACTTAATTTCAAATGACTTGTATACTAAGTTCATCCACCTAATGGGAGATACAAAGTTGTTTTTAGATTTTTATTCCATTGTTTCACAAATCAGCCTGTGTATGTTTGGGTGCCTTCCCTGAAGAGTAACTGAGATTTCAAAAGCCTGAAACATTATCTGCAGGATTGAAGGTAAGTGTCAGAGTAAATTCTAAGGATTAGTTACATTTTTCAAACTCTGACCTTCACCCAATCCAGGGAAGTACAGTCATTTCTGGAAACTTCATGTTGCCTCCTGTCTCCTATCACCTGACCTACAAAGATGTGAGGCCCCAGGGGTTGGCCTCAGGCCTAAGGCAGTCGCTTGCCACACACAATGCGGGTTCGAGCCCGCCAGATAGCTGGCCATTTCTTAGAAGCTCTGGTAGCGTGGTGCCTAAGGCACCTGACTGCTAACCAGAAGGCTGGTTATTCAAACCCACCAGCCACTCCTCGGAAGGAAGGTTGGGCAATCTATTTCCATAGTGATACCACCTCAGAAACCCAAGGAGGGGTCACTATGAGTCGGGGCCGACTCAACAACAACAGAGATGTGAACTGGCAGGAGATAGTGGTCTGTTCTGGTAGCTAGTGAGGGTTGGTCTCATTTATACTTTGAATAGTCATCCAAAGCTGAACGAAATTAAAATTCTATTTGATGGTTGTTCAGACTCAATGCATACTAGAAGAGCCACGGTGGAAAAGAAGTAGCCTTTCCCACATTATGATATTGATGGAGTCAAGTGACGTTAAAATCTGTAATGATTGGGGTAATAATATCATTTATTTAATATTTATGCTATGTTGCATTATAAGCCATGACCATAAAAAAGGGCATTAAAAGGTTAAAAATGTCCTTAATATGTGAAAAGAACTTAAAAGACTACCTCATACTTAAGAGAACCTTCATACTTTTCATTTGTTTGATACTTGTTTTTGTGTTTATATTCTCAACATTTGTTGGCTCAGAAGTTACGATAATGAAAAACAGAAAAGAAAAAGTCATCATTTATTCAACAAACATTTGAGTACCTATTACATACCAGTCATTGTTCTACATAGTAGGAACATAGAGGTGAATAAAATAGGGATTGAAATTTGCAGGAAATACGATTGAGAAAATCGATCTTTAAATTAAGGAATGATTAAAGGCCCAGTGAAAAAATAGAATAATCTTAATAGCATGTTAATTATTTTAATCCTTAACTTAAATTAATTGAGATTGTTTGAATAAGTAATATGAGTAAGTGATGAATGATATATAACAATTTATGAATAAGAGAGATTATTTTGGAAAATGTTACAGGATAAAATCCAGCTTATGAGAGCTAAGGTTTTAATAATTTACATGTTAAAATTGATTTGTAATGTTGAATCTGTTTACTGAGGGCCTTCAACTGAATTAAATTTTAGGGAGGAAATTTAGATTGAACTAATATGAATAACTAGGCTTTTAAAGAACCATGGTGTGCTTTTGAGAGAATGTGTGCCTTTGGATAAAATGAGAGTAATGATTATTAGTTAAGTGTTACTAATACTGAGCTTCAAACAGTAATTCATCAAACATTAAAACATTTAATGATCAAGAAAAATAGCTCTCTCCTGACAGTTTGCTTTCTCCTGTATCTTTTTTGATATTCCTACAATGAATATGTTATCATTTAACTTTTTAAGATGTTGTTTTAATTTAAAAAAAAAGTATTGTCTGGTTGTGTATAGATGTAAAAATAAATGTATTTATAAAAGGTGCTTTGAATATACAGTTTGTCTAAATGACTGTAAAAATCACTATTTGGCCAGAACCAAAATCGTATAGAAGGAACTTTATAAAAAATAAATTATTTTTTAAAAATTCTTTCAGTGATGATACTATACTTGAAATACAAATTAGATTCTCACATTCAGTATACCAGAGGTTATTTTATTTTATTTCATGGTAGAAATTCTAGTTCACCAAACAATTCTAAAAAAGATTAGATTTATATTATATAATCTCTTCTCTTTGTGTTTATACTTTTTTAACATTTGTTAACTCAAAAGTTATCTAACTAATGTACTCTTTTAATTTATTAATATCAATGTATTTTTTTAAAATATTGGGAATATTCAATAATTGTGTACATAAAATTAATAGCTTTGTTTTGTAGCATTTTGGTTTTGTAATAAAATAAATGGGGAATATATATATTTATACTCCAGTTGACTAACAGAATTCCAACATATAAGTAGATTTGTCACTACAAGCCACACCTAAAATCTTTGTTTATATTTGAAAGTGAATATTCATATACTAACCATAAATCCCAATTGACATGCCTTCTCAAATTACTTGCAGAGCTAACACCAGTGGGATATGACAGTACCTATATAGCCACTCCTCGGAAGGAAGGTTGGGCAATCCTACTTCCGTAGTGATACTGCCTCGGAAACCCAAGGAGGGGTCGCTATGAGTCGGGGCCGACTCGACGGCACATAACAACAACAACAACAACAATATAGTCACAGGATCATTAATTATACACAAATTTAGGGATGCCACAAATGAACACTGAGGTTGGCATTTGGCTATTTTCTTTGTAAGGCTCAAACTATAGCCAGTGAGCAAATCTAATTTAGTGTAATTTTTACATTTACAATTTTGTGTTTTTTTTTTTCCTCTTTAATAGTATGTCATAGGTGGTTTGTCATACATTAGTTTCTCACCATTCCACTGACTCTGCTCTTGCCAAGTTATTTACTACTTAATCAAATGCATAATTTGTGATACTGTTGATTTTTCTCTTTTTGAAACCTATTCTTCCCTTGAACCAGATCCTATCCTAACTTTTCTCTATTCTCTGATGTCTTCCTCTTAGCTCCTTTGTGGTTCTCTTCTCTCTCTACCTGTCACTTAATTGTCGGTATTCCTTAGAGTTATCTAGGGCCTCAACATTCTTTCCTTGACTGATTTCATCCAACTCCATGGCTTTAGTTAAATTCAATGTTCTTGCTCCTATGCTTTCTCCTAAATTCCAGCTGCTTATTGGACATTGTGACTTGGATATATCTCAAACTCAGTAAGTCCCAAATTTAATTTTCCCCATAAACCAACTTTTTCTATGAAAGCATTGTTATTGGAACAAAACAACTTGAGAATTACTTTGTATTTGTCTCTCCCTACCTCACCCCACTATATCCAGTTAGTTGTCAAGTCTGTCGATGGTGCTTCTTAATATCTCTCCACTTCTATTGATTGCCTTGTTCCTACTGTAGCAACGTCACCTTCACCTCTGCAGTTCAGATTTAGCCAGCTAGTTGGCATCAGTCTCTCAAGGTATCTCCATGCTCTAGTCACGTTGTTGTTATTGTTATATGCCGTTGAGTCAGACTCAACTCATAGCGACCCCTCCTTGGGTTTCCAAGGCAGTATCACTACGGAAGTAGACTGACCAACCTTCCTTCCAAGGAGTGGCTGGTGGGTTTGAACCGCCAGCCTTCTGGTTAGCAGTCAAGTGCCTTAAGTATTACGCTACCAGAGCTCCAGTCATACTCCCCTCTAATCCATTTCTTCAAGCCATCACCAAAAATGCAAATCTGATCCTGTGCCTCCTCTGATTAAAATCCTTCATGAACCTCCCAGTGCTTTTAGGATAGGGCAGAGGCTTGCCAAAGCTCTCCATGGCCCCCTTCTGCGAGCTTGCTTACACATTCTGTTCTTTGGAACCTAATATCACATTCCAACTCTTTCTCTTCCTTTCTGCCATCAAATTCTCCCTTTGAATAACACTTATTCATTCTTCAGGACTCAACTTAAACTTCACTTTGTCAGAGAAACTTCTGCCTTATGTCCTGTATACTGTTGAGTGGCCCTGCTATGCTCCCATTGTACTCATTAACTCACTCTTTCATAGCACCGTTGTACTATATATTTACTTTTTTTCTATTTTCTATACTAAAGGAGCTCATTGGCCGTATCTGTATTGCATGCCATTGTATCCTTTCACCCTAGCATTGCCTAGCTCACAGTAATGGCTTGATTAGTTAAATTCATTCATAGCCATCATAGGTTCTTTAATCATTCTCACTTTATAGAACATTTAGATTGAATCCAATTTTTGCTGTTACAAATAACACTGCAGGGAACATTTTTATGCTTAATGCTTTTTTTTCTGTTCTGAGGATTGTTTTTAGGCATATAAATGTCTTAACACTTACTAAATTTCATGAGTGAATGTGTATGTATATGTGTGTCTCACAGTTACTGATTGTATTCTGTTGATGTCTATCCTTTCACTTTAACCACACTCTTTTCAAAAATTTCCAGCTTCTAAGAAAGAACATTTTCTTATAAGAATGTCAATTGCATGGGGGAGAATAAATGTTGTTAGTCTTAGTGGCTAATACAGTAATGTATCTGAGGTAAATCACAAGGTTAAAATTAATTTTAGTGTTTCTAGGAAAGCCGTGCTTCTGAAAAGTTCGAAGAATATGTAGCTTTTTTATTCAAAGAATCTGCATACACAATAAATAATGTAGTTGTTGGGTCCCATGGAGTCAATTTGGACTCAGAGCAACCCCATATGACAGAGTGGAGCTGCCCTGTAAGGTTTTCTAGGCTATAATCTTTACAAAAGCAGATTGCCTGGTTTTTTTCCTGCAAGGTAACTTGGGTGAGTTCAAACTTTTCGGTTAACAGCAAAAGTTTTTGGTTAACCTTTTGAGCCATGAAGGCTTCTTTCAATGAATACATAGCTTTTGTATAAAGATTCAAATGAATTTTCACAATTTAGCCACAAGAGGGCAGTAGAAATACAAATTAAAGTTTTCCACTCAGCTTTTCTTCAGATTTCAGGTAAGTAATTTGCAGACTTTACAATTACTGAAAATAGTCCACTTACTATAGTGTTTTTCAACTCTTCCCTTAGTAATTTATGTAGGGTTGGTTTGTGTGTGTGTGTATGTTTTTAAGTAAATGATATGATTAAAATGAAGGAAAATCTTAAGCAAGCTAACATTAAATAAGCATATGTGTACTGTTAAGAATTATGTAGTTGGTAGCTGAGTTCTCTTACATTGCTTTGGAGAAAAATGTGAGGGAAAAAAAATGACTCTTCATGGTATGTCTAAATGTTTTGTTTTAAAGGGCTCTCTAAATACGTACAGATTCTGCGATAATGTGTGGACTTTTGTTTTGAATGATGTTGAATTCAGAGAGGTGACAGAACTTATTAAAGTGGATAAAGTGAAAATTGTAGCCTGTGATGGTAAAAGTAAGTGTTCACCTAATTACTGTGAAAGCCAAACTACTTGAAATCTTGTTATTATGAATCTTTAGAAAATCTTCATCTGAAAAGCCTCCATATAGAAACCTGGCATCTATCTCAGCTAGAGTCTGAGTCCTCCATCTCAAACAGTCTTCTTACTAATATGACATATGACATGTACTTAGAAGTTAAATTTGTGTGAGGAAGAAAATAAGCGAATTAATAAGCTTTTCTTCCTTATTTCAGTTACAAATATTAAGTGTTTATAGTTTTTAAAAAGTGATTTCTTAAAAGCAAATTTTAACCATAAAAACCTTGTCAGCCATGCTAGTAAACAGCCAGTTGACTGCATCTGTGCAGATGTAGTCTCCACGGAGGACCTAGGAACTTGTTCAGGTTCTTCAGTGCTTTGGAAGTTACTCATCTCTGCTTTCTGTTCCATGGTTAGTTGTTTCCTTTCTGATAATTGTATTTTAAAAATATACTTACCTTTATTTTCTGAACCTTTTGTGTTTAAAGCAGCTATTCCTGAAATTAAATAGAAAAGGCTGTCATTCTGTAGGAAAGGGAGTTTTGAAAAGGGGAAACAGAAATGTGGAAAGTCATGCCCTCCATTTCTCAGATTATTGATTAATTTTTATTTTATATATATTGTATTTCAAAAGGACTACCTATCTTTGAGGGAAGGTAGAGCATACAGAAAAAAGCACACAGAAGAAAAAATCATCTGTAACACCACCTGTAGATAACTTCACCACTTTTAATATTTTACTGTATAGCCTTCTAGTCTTTTATATATGTTCTTTACAGCAGTATGTATGTATGTATATATGCACATTAGTAAATATATCATTTTTCATACATAACTATTCTTAAACTTCATTTTTGATGACTGTATAAAATTATACCTTTAGCCCTTTTTTAAGAGGTAATCTGTTCCAGATGTCAGAAAGCCTCAAAAGTCTCAGCGTCACAGTGATATGTACCTTTCAGAAGGTTAATTAGGAACAACCGTTCTAAGAATTCTACAGACACATGACTTCTTAGTAAACTCACCAGATACATAGGTCCATTTTGTCATTACAACAGTAACAATGACGGCCTGTGAGCAACCTGAATAATATCAAAGTATCCGTGTAAAGATAAGTATTTTATTCCTAGGAGCTCCTGTCTGGAGGTCCTTGGACTATTACCTTTGTTTAAAGATGTATGATTCTGTTTTTCCAAACCTTGGTGGAGGAGAAATAGTAAATCCACCTGACCTATCGCAGTGGCTTCTGCAGTGTTTCTCCCTCTCGTAGCAAAGTGCAGTGATGAACCATCAAGGAAAAAACTCTTGAGTACTCAAGCAAAGCCTAGATTGTGTTCCTTGTACTCTGTATTGGCAGAAAAGAATGAAATCTTAGAAACTTTCTCCAAACTGGTGGAGCTATTAAGCTACCAATATGAGGATATTGGATAAGCATTTCTTTACTCTTACTGTGATAATATAAAACAAATGGTTTGGCATTTACAGACCAAGGTGAGTTTAAATAATTAAGAAAATTACATTCCTCTGTGATGCCAGATAAATGAAGTGCTACTACAGAGTAAGCTCAGTTTATTCCTAAAGTCAGCTTTCTGAAATAAAGTTGAGTTCCTAATAGCTAGAATTTGGATGTGTTTCTTAGCAAGAACTATCTTTAAATCCAGTTCTCTTCTAATTATTAGTTATGGTTCTTTTTTAATTTAAAATTTTAGATAGTAGAAGAGCTGGGAAAAATGTGGTTATGTAACAGTTACATGAACAAATGTAATAGAACTAGGTTTTTCTCTAGCATAAGTGGGAGAAGTAAGCATTGTCTTTTTACCTCTGCCCTGAAAGGAGAGTTATTTAAGTTCTCAAGATACTTGTCATCAGTGTCCCTCTTCAGCCTTGCCTGAAATCACTAAGGTGCACCTAACTCACCATTAGTTCCTGTTTTTGTGTGTTTAAATATATCCTTAAAATATATCCTTTTGAAATTAAATTGCTCCTTGAGTTTACTTATTCTCTCTTCCTGTTTTCTAGATACTGGTTCCAATACTACAGAATGAATAGAAAAAAAATGGCTTTTTCATGCCATCTTCAGTTATTATTCATCGCTTTTTGAAGAGAAGCATAGAAGAGACTTTTTTAATTTATTCTAGCAATGCAGAAATGACTACACTGTGCTGTACTATCAGAAAATTCCAGTAGAAAGAAGCTTATAACTCTGTAACCTCTTACATCACTTTTATTATACAGCATGAAGAAACTTTTTTTTAATGACAAATCAGCAGTTCTTGCTTTCCTACATTCTTTAATAAACTCATTTTAAAACAAATTGACTAATAACTGGTGGAGCTATTAAACTACCAATATGAGGATATTGGATAAGCATTTCTTTACTCTTACTGTGATAATATAAAACAAAAAATTTGCAATTTTAACCACTTTTTTTTTTTCCATTTAACCACTTTTAAGCATACAATTCAGTGACATTAATTACATTCACTATGTCGTGCAACTGTCATCACTATCCATTTCTGAAAGTTTTATATCACTCCAAACAGGAATCCAGTACCCTTTAATAACTCCCCATAGTCCAGCTCCCACCCCATAAACTGCTGGTGACCACTAATAAACTTTTGTCACTGTACATTTGTCTATTCTAGACATTGATAAGTATTTTGAATGAGCATTATGTTCCTTGCAAAGGAAATCAGAAAAGTACATTCTTTCAGTAGTCATGATAGTTGTACCATTGTAACTTAATGAAAGCATTAGCAAAGCAAAATTCTATAAAGAATTTTACCTAGAAAAACTTTTAAACTAGAGACCAGAGTACTCATTATTGTGAAAAACTTAAGAAATAAAACTGGGTCTCTCCTCATCCAGAGCAAAGAAGAATGAAGAAAACCAAAGAGTCAAGGAAAGAATTAGTCCTAGCAATTGGTACACCATGTGATCCATAGCTTATATGACTGAGACCAGAAGAACTAGATGATGGCTGGCTACCAGTGTCAACTACTACGAGGGGGATCTATGTAGGAGACCCTGGATAGAGAGGGAGAACAATGTAGAACAAAACTCAAAAGCATTTGAGAAAAAAAATGGGGGACCAGGTTTGCTGGTCTGATAGAGCCTGGTGGAACCACTGAGACTATGGCCCCTAGCTGCCCTTCAGGTCTGGAATTGAACCCACCTGTGATTTCCAGGCAAGCAAAAGACAGGCATAGGAGTTGAACATTTACCTGAGGTAAATACACGCCTTAGACAGAACACTCGTTAGAGAAGGGCTATTTATGCACAGGGTGACAGGGTGGGGGTGCATGGAGGGATGGACACATGGAAGAGGTGACTGTTGGGAGGAAGTGGGAGGGGAGCTGTTGCCTTGTGAATTGTGGTCAATGTTATGAGACAAAGTATGTGAACTGTATGGAAAGTGAATTTGCTCTGTAAATTTTCACCCAGATCACAATAAAAAAAATAAAAATCCGTAAATCAGACAGTATTTAGACAATTTCCATAACCAAAACAGAAACCTATTCCCAACAATGTAACATAGGCCCACATGTATGTTATTCTTTGAGTTGGCCATATTCAAGTTTCAATACATTATAGAATGATCATTTTATCCATTATTCAAAACCAGACCAAACTCGCTGCCATTGAGTCAATTCTCACTCTAGTGATGCCTCCTTGGGTTTCCAAGGTAGTATCTCTACAGAAGTAGATTGTCTAGTCATCTTCGCTGCTGTGGTTGGTAGGTTTGAACTGCCAGTCTTCTGGTTAGCAGTCAGATGTCAGCACTATGCCACCAGACTTTCAATAAAAAGTCCTACTAAATACATGACCTTTGTTTTAATATCATTGCTAATTTGAAGAAGAAAAAATTTCTCTGTTTATCAATCTAGTAATGTATGATAATGTAGCATTTCTAAAATATGAAAGAGGGAGAATGTCAGTCACCAGGTAGTAGAGTGATTGGAATTTAGCAGCTGACTACAGATGAATCAAGGAGCTCTGGTAGCAGTGGTTAAAGCATTTGGCTACTAAGCAAAAGGTCAGCAGTTCTAATACACCAGCCATTCTCTGGGAGGATGACAGTGTACTTCCATAAAGATTTACAGCTTTGGAAATGCTATGGGACAGTTCTGAGAATTGATTGCAGTGGATTTTTATAAGTGAATTAATGACTAACTTTTTAATAAAGACTGGCCTTATTTGTCATTTGGTAATATTAGGCTATTGGCAGCCACATCCTGTAGTCAACCCTAGTTCAGTGTGCTTAAACTACCACTTAGAGAGGAAGGGTCAACTTTATTTCCTCTGCTGAGAGAGACTAGAGTTCACAGTAATCTTCAGCAAAATAATTTGTCAGAAAGCTGTTAAAAATTAAAGCCTTGAATTGCAATCTTATAGTGCCTAAGGTGCTTGGCTGCTAACCAGAAGGCTGGCGGTTCAAACCCACCAGCCACTCCTCGGAAGGAAGGTTGGGCAATCTACTTATGTAGTGATGCTGCCTCCGAAACCCAAGGAAGGGTTGCTATGAGTTGGCTCTGACTCCAACATGGGCAAAATACTGAACGATACAGGAAGTGCAAAAGATGGGAGGAATACAGAGTTCCTGTACCAAAAAGACTTGTTCAATGTCCAGCCATTTCAGGAGGCAGCATATGATGAAGAACCACTAGTGGTGAAGAGTCCAAGCTGCACTGAAGGAATTGACTCCAGAAAAACAAGGCTCTGCAAATTGACAAAATATCCATCGAGAGGTGTTTCAACAAATGGATGCAGCTCAGGAGGCACTTGTTCATCCAAGAAATTTGGAAGAGATCAGTAATTGGTGCCCATTCTAAAGAAAGATGATCCAGTAGAATGTGGAAATTATCAAACCCTTAATATCACACACAAGTAAAAATTCAAAGATAATTTAAAAATGGTTGTAGCAGTATATTGACAGGGAACTGCCAGAAATTCAAGCTGGATACAGAAGAGGATGTAGAACAAGGGTGATGTCAGATGGATCTTGACTGAAAGCGAAAAATAAGAGATGTTTTCCTGTATTTTATAGACTATGCAGAGATATTCAACTGTGTGGATCATAACAAATTATGGATAACACTGCGAAGAACGGGAATTCCAGAACAACTTAATTGTGCTCATGAGGAATCTGAGCATAGACCAAAAGGCTGTCATTTGAATGAAACAAGGGCATACTGCATGGTTTAAAATCAAGAAGGGTGTGTGTTGGGGTTGTATCCTTTCACAATATTTAATTTGTGTGCTGAGAAAATCTGAGAAGCTAGCTGTTAGAAGAATGCAGCATCAGGATTGGAGGAAGACAATGTGTGATATGCAGATGACACATGATTGCTGAAAGTGAAGATGACACACTGGTGAAGATCAAAGACTACAGTCTTCAGTATGGGTTACATCTCAACATAAAACAAAAATCCTCACAACTGGACCAATAAGTAGCATGATAAATGGAGAAAATATTGAAGTTCTCAAAGATTTAACTTGGATCCACAATCAACACCCATGGAAGCAGCAGTCAAGAAATCAGATGTTGGATTACACTTGGCAAATCTGCTGCAAAAGGCCTCTTTGAAGTGCTAAAGAACAAATATGTTGCTTTGAACACTAAGAGGCACCTAACTCAAGCTGCCATGGTATTTTCACTAGATGCCTTTGAATTGTGTTGGTGAGGAATACTGAAAATACGTACTGCCAGAGAGCAAACAAATCTGTTCTGGAAGAAGTGCAGCTCCTTAGACACAAAAATGGCCAGACTCAGCATTGAGGATGAGAAAGACATAGAGAGTTACATGGGCAGTACA